AAATCTGCAACCGTAACCCGATCCTGTTGAAAGATTCGATACAATACCGCACCGTGACATTCTTACCGTACGGAATCCCCCAGTCTTTTGCACCACTTTCGCCCTGGACCCACCGCGAATAATTGTCGCATTTTACACCTTTTTACACCCGCCAACCGAACTCTGCGCTGACCTCTTTTCCGTGGTACTTCAGCAGACACAAGCGCCAGTGCAGACTTGTTAGAGAACTTTGCAAATTGTCCAAGTCAGTCAAGTCCAATACAATTGAGTGACCTCTCTTTTTTCCACTTCTTCCACCACCACCATCACCACCACATTCTGCTCGCTTTTTGCACAGCACCGCACGCACCCACACATTTACACACCCACACACGCTATTTACGCGCGAGTACGTTGTCCACAAACACACCGTCATTATCACCATCATCCAAGATGCCTACGCAGCTACCATCGAGCTTTGCCTCTGCGGCCGCCGGCCAAACCACCAGAGGAGACGCCAGATCCGGTGCCCGAGGCGATTCCGTCCGTGGTGCCGGCAGCGGTGAATGGTGAGCATCCGTCCAGCCCTGTGTCGAGTCCGTGTCAACTATCTGCACTTCAGCCTGGATCTGATCTGGTGTTGTTCTCTGGCGTGGAGGGGAAGATGGGGCAGAGAAGGAAGAGTGGCATCTGGCATCTGGCATCTGGCATCTTCTCCTTCATCTGTACCTTCACGTGGCAGAGATCACTAGAGACAGACAGCCAGATTGAATACACACGACGGGAGACACATCTCCTTTCCTCCCTACTACCCCTCCTCCTACTCCATCATCCCCCATCCCCATCCATCCCATCATATATACCATCACCACTACAACTAAACAGCAGAGCCGCTGACACGTCACCACAACCTCCAGGGCTCGTTCTAACGGAACCAGAACCTTCCGCCGCTCATCCACCACTCCCTTCAACAACCAGTCTGTCGCCGCTAGCAACTCGACTGATGCCACACAGAACCCCGCTCTAGACAGCCACAACAGCATCAACAACAATAACGCTAGCTCTGCCTCGCAACCCGCTTTGACCGCGTCCGACCAGCAGCAACATCAGCAGCAGCAGCAGAATAACCAGCACAACCAAGGTCCTCTCCGCTACTCCAAGGACGAGCTCTACGAGATCTACAAGCATAGTGCCGAAGCCGCCAACAACATCGACATGTCGTCCCTCTTTGCGCCCTCGTGGAATCCCACCCAGACCAACGGCACAGCTTCACGCGTGTGGGGCAAGACCAGCGATTCCCCGCATGTCCCGCAAGATCCTACCGTCTGTTGGGATCCCAACGGTACCGTCAAGCCCATCGGCCTCGAGCCCATGTCTGCCGAGGAGCGCGAAATGTTTGCCACCGACGTGAACTCGACTTTGAAGCCGCCCCAGATTCAGCAGCAGAACAAGGAGGGAGGCGTGCAGGGTGGTATACAGAACGGCGGGCGCAAGACCTCGGTCAGTGTCAACACTAGCAACTTCTCCTCCACAGCTTCGCCCGCTACTGCCTCGAGACCCGCCACCCGACGCCGTGAGACCGCCGACACGAATCCTTTCCCGAGCTCGGCCGTTGCCTCTCCGACCACCGCCGGCCGTTTCCCCCGAGACGATCCCTGGCTCCCTCGCCGGAACACCGACCTGAGGGAGTCCATCACCGACGAGCCCGCCGAAGAAAACCCCCCGACGACGTCGAGAACGCAGCCTTTCGGTCTCACTAGATCCAATACTGCTGGGTCTAGCGCCTTTGGCAGCTCCGCTTCGCTGTGGGGTCCCGCCGCGACCACCCCGGGCGCGGGCATCGGTGCCTTTGGTAGCTTTGCCTTGAACACAGCCACGTCCACGATCGGGGAAAAGCGTTTTGGCGGCACCGGTGGAAGCCGTCTGGCCCATTTGATCCCCAAAGACTCGAATGAGAATGTGGCTGCCAATAAGGGAAACGAGTCTGCTCCCGGTACTGATACCAACCGTGGTTGGAGACCCCGCCAGCGTACTGATACTGACCCCTTTGGGCCTGACGACAGTCTGACCGGCAGCGCCATCCTCGGCGGGGCTCAGGACAACAGCCCGCCCGCCTCCTCCCTCCAGCGCAGCGGCGTCTTCGACACCCCTGTCAAGGGGAGCAGCGGCGATTTCGGCATGTCGGCTCTCAACCTCGGCGGCAACAACAACCAGAACGAGCAGCAGGGAAACGGGCCCGCCAGTCCCTCCGAGACGAACCCGTACCGCAGCCCGCTAGCCGAGCGTGGCGATGAGGGACATGACGACGCCGAGATCGATCGACTTACCCACAACGCTGCCGGGTCCGAGCCGCAGTCCAACTTCAGCACCCTGTCTCGTGCCTTTGGTGGTGCTCCTTTTGATGGCAGCGACCGTAGTCAGACTTCGAGTGTGGGTGCCAAGGGCTTCCCAACTGTCAACACTCTCGGAGGATGGCCCACTGCTCCTTCGGTCGGTACTCCCGATCGCGAGAGACAGCCGTTCAACAGCGCTTTTGGCACCAGCATCTTCAGCCCCATTGGTGATTTGCAGTCTCCCGGTTTTGGTGGCCTGGGTGGCTTTGGAGTTGCTGGCGGTTCGGGGCTTGGTCGCGCCAATAAGCTCAGCTCCTTGTTCCCCCCTGCCATGCAAGCTCAGATGGGGCACGTTGGTCATGAGCAGGAGAACCTGAGTGACTCTGTTCCGGACCTCAGACAGGCCAACCCCCTTGGTGCTATCGGGCGTGGTGCCATTGGTACTCAGCCTCGTGATGCCGCTAGCCCCATGAGAGCTGGCAGAGGTGCCTTTGAGGACTTGTTTCCTGGTGCTGATGCTATGAAGTCGCCGTTTACCAGCGGCGAGCACCAGGCTGGTCTTACGTCCACGGCGCCCTCTTCGGGTTTCCCCGCCACCACGGCCGGTCCCGCCTTTTCGGCTACCCCTACCCCTGGCGAGCCCAATCAGCAGCAGCAGCAGCGGACTATGGTTATGCCTGATCGCATGCGTTGGGTTTACCTGGATCCTCAAGGTCAGATGCAGGGTCCCTTCTCTGGCTTGGAGATGAACGACTGGTACAAGGCCAACTTCTTCTCGCCTGACCTCCGTGTCAAGCGCGTCGAGGATCCCGACTTTGAGCCTCTTGGTCAACTGATCCGTCGCATTGGGAACTCGCGTGAGCCCTTCCTGGTTCCTCAGATGGGCATCCCTCACGGACCCCCGCCTTCCGCCGGCCCTTTCGCCCTTGGTGCTGCTGAGGCCATTCCTCCCCTTCAGGGTGCTTTCCCGTCTTTTGGTAGAACCTTGACTGCTGCTCAGCAGAATGACTTGGAACGCCGGAAGCAGGAAGAGCAGTTGTATCACGCTAGGCAGCGGGAGTTCCTGCATCATCACCAGAGCTTCGGCCGCCTCCCTCTCCAGCCTGGTATCCCCGGAGCCCTGCACCACCATTCTAGCGCTCACAGCTTGCAGAGCCAGCCCAGCTTTGGCAGCATCACTTCCCCCATTGGTATGCCTCAGCCTCCTATCGGTGCCATTGGCCCCAACTCCGGCTTCTTTGAGGCTCCCGTGAGCCTCGGTCAGGCCCCTACCCAGCAGGGCTTGGGTCCCGATCTTTTTGCCCCGGACCTCAACTTGGGTGAGCGCCAGTTGTTGGCTAACCTTCAGGCCAATGGTGGTCTCCCTGGTTCCTTTCCTACCCAGCCCATCGGTGCCCCCATTGGTGACAACTCGTCTCTCCGCAGCAACCTCCCTTCCGTCGATCAGCTCCGCAACGACGAGCAGGGATTCAACGCTAAGCTCAAGGAGTTTCACGAGCTTCGCGCCCAACATGATGCCGAGGAGGCCGCTGCTCACGCCAGCGTTGCCGCCGCGCAGGAGGTCCTCCAGGAGGTAAAGGAGGAGGCTCCCAAGTCTAAGGACGAGCCCAAGGCTGCTCCCGCCTCTGGCCAGGAGACTGTCAAGGCTTCCAAGAAGCAGACTCAGGAACCCAAAGAGGCCGCCGCTGCTGCTGCTAAGGAGATGGCTTCTCAGGCCGAGGTTTCCCTGACCGAGAAGATCAAGAAGACTCAGGCTGAGAACAACGCTGCCAAGCTTGCCCAGCAGGCCGCTGCTTCGGGTCTTCCCATGCCCTTCCCTCCTCCTCCCCAGGCCAACACCCCTCTTGCTGCCCCCACTGCTCAGCGTCCTGCCTCGGGCCTCCCTGCTAGATACGGTGAGCGCTCTGGTTCTGGTACTCCGGACACCACCTCTGATGCTGCCTCCCTTGCCCCTCCCCCTACCGCTCCCTGGGCTGGCACCGAGACCCAGAAGGGTCCCAGCCTCAAGGAGATCCAGGAGGCTGAGGCTAAGAAGGCTGCCAAGAAGGAGGAGGCTGCTGCTGCCGCTCGTCGTGCTGCTCTTGAGCAGGAGGCTGCTGCCCTCCGTGAGCGCGAGAAGGCTGCTGCCGCCGCCCACATCGGTCTGCCCGCTACTAGCACCTGGGGCACTGGTTCTCCCGTCGGCGCCCCCGCCTCTGGTAGTCCCTGGAAGCAGCCTGCCGCCAAGGTTGCCACCACCACCACCGGTTCCAAGAAGACCCTTGCCGAGATCCAGCGCGAGGAAGAGCTTCGCAAGCAGAAGGCCAAGGAGGCTGCTGTCCAGGCTAGCATCATCTCTGGCTCTGGTCTCGGTAAGCGCTATGCCGACTTGGCTAGCAAGACTTCGTCGACTTCTGCTCCTCCCGGCATGATCACTCCCGGTGCTGCTGCTCAGGCTGCTGCTGCTGCCGCTGCTACTGTCGGTGGTGGCTGGTCTACTGTTGGGGCTGGTGGTAAGGTCAAGATGCCTACTGGCCCTGCGGCTACCAGCCGCCCTGTCAGCACTACTCCTGTCAAGACTACCGTCCTTCCGGCTGCCAAGGTTGTGGCTAAGCCTGCTACTGCGGCGCTTAAGGACGCCAAGAACGTTGCTCTGGAGGAGTTCAAGAAGTGGTTGCATCGTGAGCTGTCCAAGGGCTTGAGCGGTGTTAATGACAGTATGTTTCCCCCCTTTCTCGTCTTTTAACCTTGGTTGCAGTAACTAACATTGCTATTCACAGTCGAATCCTTTGCTTCCACCCTTCTCGAGCTCCCCCTCGACGTGGCCATTCTCTCCGAGTGTGTGTACGGCTTCTCCACCACCATGGACGGCCGCCATTTTGCCGAGGAGTTTGTCCGTCGTCGCAAGCTCGCCGACAAGGGCATCGTCGAGAAGGATTCCAACACTGGCGCCATGTCTTCCAGCAACGGTGGCTGGTCCGAGGTGGCCAAGAAGGGTGGCAACAGCGCCCAGGCGGCCGCGGTCAAGGAGGAACCCATGGCTGCTGTGCCTGGCTTCAGAGTTGTCCAGGCCAAGAAGGGCAAGGGCAAGAAATAGAGTTCTCAGGCTTGACTTGCATGGGATTGGACTGGTTCAACAAGATGGATGGTGGAAGTATAACAAAGTGGTATAAATATGGGGGTTTGGGTGCTGGAGGAATGCACTGAACACAGCGTGGGTGACTGGAGAAAGTTCATGTTGTCTTTTGGCTGCCAACACTGGAAGGTACCTACGGGTAGCGTAGCTGACGTGGGATTGTCAAGCGTCAAGCGTCAAGCTCAGCGTTATAGGGTTAGTTACTTGCGAAGATGTCAAGATTAGTGTACTGTAGCGGTATCAGTAGTAGCGATCAGATGTATAATCTCTGCGCGGTGTTTAGCGCTACTCTAAGAATGTTGATCATGGTGATGGTGACTTTGTTTTCTTGGTGTTGATGTTTAGAAGACCCACGAACAGCGGAGCCGCCAATGAGATGTAAGTCTGGGGAACGAAGACATTGAAATGTCAGCCTTATGTAAGCAGCCAGTCTTGGCGATGAAAAAGTGCGTCACAACGCCAAGACTGGGGTCTGGCCAGTGCCCCTCCCCCCACAGTTTTTGTTTTCTGTGGTTGCTCGGCGGCGTGCCTGAAAAATGTTTTGAGAATTGCGATAAGGATTCTTGGACCCCTCTATCAGTAATTCAGCACATTGATTTCCAATCAACAACCCCCCCCTTTCCACTTCCATTCCACTTTCCACTTTCTACTTCATTCACTTGGCTTCTCAATTCACTTGACTTCTCAATTCACTTGACTTGAATCCATTTGTTCATTCACTTTCAGGCATCGGGTTCCAGGCTTCAAGGATGAGGAGATAGACAAAAATTTTGATACCCTTTTTCTTCCCGTACGTCCGTCTGTCAATATCTCTCTCACACTTCGACTTCTATTCGATACCCCTCACCCCTCACCCCTCACCCCAACCAATCCTCCACCCAAAACACCAAGTCAGCAGCCAGTCAGTCAGTCAGCCAGTGAACGACAACCCCCTAAAAAGTCACCAACGGCAACAATGACTGACACCACGACCACGACCACGACAAGCACCCCGCTGCTCGAGCAGGTCCGTTTGGGAGAATACGTCTCCGTCCTCACCAACCCAGAGGGTCCCGCAAAGAAGCTCATCGAGGGATACGTCACCTCCCTCTATTGCTACTCCGATTCACCTCAGCAACATCAGCAACAGAATGTCGAAACTGAAGACCAAGAAGATAAAGATAACGTCGCCGTCGCGCTAGCGGCTTTCAACGCCTTTTTGCAAATAAACGTTACGGGTCCGGTGCCTGATGGTCTGGCCCAAATTGAAGGGGAATTCGCCGACGCAGTATCCAGCAAAACTACCAAGGAGAGCAAGAAGCCGCTGCAGCAGGCTAGGAAGCTTGTCTTTAAGACGCTGGATGTTGATGGTGTTTCTGTTTATCAGTATATCCCGTCGATTGAACTTTTTTGGGTTGGCGAGATGGATTATTGGTACACAGCTTGGTCTGGGTCAGGGTCTGGGTCTGGAAGGCGAGCCGCTTCAGTGGTTGAAGCTCAGGGTTGATGTGTGGCATTATAAGCTTATCACTCAGCCGAGCTTGGGACCGGGATCAATCTTCAATAAAAGTCTGCAGTGGTGTGAGGTGCCTAGTTTGCAGGCTCAGATCGAGCGGGGGTTGAAGGTTGTTGAGGCGGAAGTATTGGGCGAGAAGAAGGACAACAAGGAGATGGAAGTCAAGTGGTTGGTGGAAAAGGCCAATGTGCATATCATGCTCGGTCAGGATGCGAAGGCGAAGGAGGCCATTCAGAAGGCGGCCGAGGTTAACAAGTTCCAGTATATGCTCAGCGGTGCGCTTGGTAAGAGGACCAAGTTCCAGGAAAAGGCTACGAGTCAGCTTGTTGTTCTTGCAAAGAGCGCAGAGGAGAAGGATGGCGAGGAGGAAGCGGATGCCAAACCCAAGGCCTTGGAACTCAACGACGATACTCTCTTGGAAGACCTGCAGTTCACCAAGGGCGAACTGGGCAAACATGGCGAAACAGACGACAAGACTGGTCTTCCTGCGGCATTGAAGGACCTCGAACCCGATGCGCAGCCTCAGCTTTCTCCGCTGGATCAGATCATCCTGCTCACGGAGGCGACGCTCAAGGACGCGTTCAGTCCCAACGATACCCTTACCGCCGAGGAGATCCTGCCTTTTGCCGTCAGAGTCATCAGCGACAAGAGCACCAACTGGCAGATCTACACGCAAGCGTTGCTGGTGAGGTCGCGCATCGAGATGCATCGCTCTAGGACCATGGAGCGCGGTGTCCTCCAGATGCAGGCGGTTGTCGATCAGGTTATTTTCGATACCACTGCTTCTGCTTCCCCTTCCGAGACAAACCCTGAAGAAGAGAAAAAGTCTGACGTCCCGGCTATCAAGATCTCTGCCGAGGGAGAGCTGATCGAGGATAAGGCGGCTGCCAACAAGCCCACTTCTTTCTTCCCCGCTGCTAAGCCCGAGGATTCTGCGCCGGCACATGTTCGCTTGCAGTACATCCACGCCCTCTCGTCTCCTCCTAGGTGGCATCTCGAGTCCGAGCTGGCCTACTCCTGGGCTGGCGTCGGTTCCTTGGTTTCCGCCGTCGAGATCTTCAAGCGTCTTCGTCTGTGGGCCGAAGTTGCCCTCTGTCTCGCCGCCAACGCGCGCCACGACGACGAAGACGGTCGCGGCGCCGGCGGTGAAGAAAAAGGCAAAGCCATCGTGCGCTGGCGCCTGTTCCACCGCACGGGCGTCACCACCGCCGAAGAGGAAGACGCCGAAGCCGACGACGAAGTCGAGAACGAAACCCTCGATATCTCCAACTTTAAGGAATCCGACTTCCTCGGTCCCGAGCGCGTCCCGCCTCCCCCCAACGCTCCCCGCCTGTTTTGCATTTTGGGCGAAATGGAGGATAAGCCAGAGCACTACGAGCGCGCGTGGGAGATTTCCGGGCATAGGTATGCTCGCGCGCAAAAGAGCTTGGGCGAGTACTGGCTTTCTAAGCAAGAGATCTTCAAAGCGCGCGACGCGTACCGCAAGGCTGTGGTCGTCAACCGCATGTCTTCTGAGTTGTGGAATCGGCTAGGCGACATTTCGCTACGTCTAGGTGACTTCGCTGAAGCAGCTGAGTCTTTCTCGCGCGGTATTGCTGCTGCAGACCCCATCGCCGGCGGCGAAGATGCGCGCACGTGGTCGAACCTTGGTTCAGCACTTTACTCCCTCTACGTCGAGCGGGTTAAGGAACTTAAAGCCGAGCGGGAAGCTGCCGCCGCTGCGGCAAAGGAAGTTGAAGAAGCTGACACTGAACCCCTCGCCGTCAAACCCTTTTCTAAGGTCGAAGTCCTCGACGACGAAGACGAATCCTGCATCGCCAACCCGTCCCAATCCACCACCGACCCCAGCAAGCGCTCCCCTGCCACTCTCCTGCAACAGTCACTGGCAGCTTACAAGCGCGGCGCCTCCATTGCTAACGATAACTGGCGCATTTGGGACAATGTCATCACCCTCGCGTCGCGCGTGCGTCCCCCCGCTGTGTCGGAGATTTTGTTGGCGCTGAACCATATCATTAAGATTCGCGGGAGTGAGGACGCGCTGGATATTGATGTTTTGCGGTTGTTGGTAAACGAGGCTGTTTTGAAGAAGGTGGCTGAGGGGGAGGGGGTGTATGAACCCGGTCGCGGAACGCAGGAGCGGGCGGTTTGTGAACTTTTGGAAAGGCAGGTGGCGCCGTTGATTACCAAGAGGGGTGATTTTTGGGAGTTGTTGGTGAGGGTGAGAGAGTGGAGGAGGGATTACGGGGGGGCTATCGATGCTGCTGAGCGGGCGTGGCGCGCCGCGCTGGGTGGTGCTGCTGCTGGTGGTGGTGGCCTGGCGGCGAGTGCTGCGACGGGAGACGGTGCTGAAAAGAGCTGGTTGGAGGATGAGGAGGCTTGGGAGACGGTTGTCAAGAGCACGGCTCAGTTGGTCACGTTGTTGAAGGACTATGGGCAGGGAGTGCAGGAGATCGGGGCCAGGTGGAAGGGAAAGGCGAGGCTTGCGATTAGGAGTGTTAGGGGCAAGGCGAAGGAGCCATGGGAGGGGAGCGAAGGGTGGAACACGCTGGTTGACTTGTTGAGGGAGGTAGAGGAGGCTTGATCATGGGATGGGTTCATGTGTAGTGTAGGTAGGCATTGAAGTGGATGGATATCTAGTAGGTAGATAGAGGGATGGAAATATGTTTCGGTTTGTTGGCAAAATGGGGGGCATGGGTTAGTTATATGGATTTCACTTTAAGAGATGAGGTATCACGCATTCATTGTTCGTTCGTGGAAGCAAGATGAGAAGGAAGACATCCAAGTGTTAAGAAGAGGCCTAGGTAGTCACCTCACAGAAAAGTCCTACTTGTCAGCGACCGTATTATTTTCAGACGGAGATACATACGGTCCGCACGGTTTATGCTGCATCGCATGAATTGGACTTCGATCTACTGCTGGTTTGTTAGTTAGTTAATCGTCAGCTCCATGTCGGTTCCTGACAAACTCAGGATTGAACTGAAAGAGCTCCGGGTATTCAGAACTGCCCGAAACCAAACGATGATAGATTGGAATGGTTAGGTGTACGAATTAAAAAGTTATGTGCAAGGTAAGCTTACGCCTGAGTTATAGAGCGAACCAAATTAGATGTGAAAACGCCTATGGTTCGGTATTTGACTTTACAGGGCATGAGCGTCGCACGCACCATGTCATTATCTACATGGTAGGTGAGCCTGTACAATTCGCTACAGCTTCGCACCACGAGGCCCAGGTAACTTTCGCACCCCGCGGGGTATTTTCTGTACCACTACCACTACACTGTTAGTGTACAAGTGGTTGTCTGTCCATCTTTCTATTCAACCGAGAATGGACAAAACATCCTCGAGCCACTCGTCGATGCTCACCATGTCAACAATCACCACCCTCAACAACCACCTCGTCGCGTTCAATCTACCGCTTATTTCCAGCTCACATAGATGATGGCATCCCCGAGGAAGAGGCTTACTGAGGACGGAAGGAGGATAAAAACCAATAGCGGGCGATAGGGGCCCCCTGGCCAGCGGGGTTCGCCTACCACATTCCAGGAAGGTGACAAACATTGTCGAGACACCCGCGCAGCCACGAGCCAGCCATTGCCGATACCCGAAGGTGGTGAGCCAATCCCACGCTGCCTTGGGTGGTTACATTAGTGTTCCCGACCCCAGGGATTCACACACTGCAGCGCAACGGGGCACAGGTCGCGACAAGGTGAACAAGCCCGCCGATAGCCAATAGGTTCACCCACCTGCCCGTTCACTACCACGCTTGTACATAGCAGCGCAGATAAGCTAACGCATGTACACTACATCCAGACCATGCCGTGGCCACCGATCGACACATGAGATTGCTGCTGGCGGAATGCTCCCTCATGTTGGTGCTGCAAGGCACAATGTTAATATAAAAACTGGGCATGGCCGTCGGTCCAAAGTGGTGGTATTCTACCGAGTCCGTCCGTGTCTGGTTCCTTTTCATTCTTCACCCTCGTGGACCGGCGACCATCTGGACCTCTCCCCGAGCCAGAACCGTCACAACACCGAGCCAACGACTCACGATGGCGTCTCTCGGAAAGCTCCTCTCGACGGCCGGCCTCCTGCTCTTGGGCGGCCATGGCATGTTGGCTTCGGCCGAGGACCACCTGATCAGTGAACGCAAGCTCTCCAAACGGTTCATCGACGACAACGGCAACTACAACATCTCCTTCTATCACATCAACGATGTCCATGCCCATCTCGATCAGTTCTCCTCCTCCGGCACCGACTGCACCAACCCGGCCAAGGGCTGCTACGGCGGTTATGCCCGCGTCAAGACCGTCATCGACGAGACCCGCCCCCAGCACAAGGACTCGCTTTTCCTCAACGTTGGTGATGAGTTCCAGGGTACCATGTTCTTCTCCTACTACGGCGGCGAGAAGATTGCCGAGACCCTCAACCAGATGGGCTTCGACGGCATGACGCTGGGCAACCACGAGTGGGACAAGGGTGACGAGGTCCTCGGTCAGTTCCTTGAGAACCTGACCTTCCCCATCATCTCGGCCAACGTCTTCTCCGACAACGCCCGTCTCAACCGCACCATCAAGCCCTACCACATCTACGAGGAGTACGACCTCGCCGTTATCGGTGTCACTACCGAGACCGTCCCCTCCATCTCCTCGCCCGGCCCGGGCACCAAATTCACCGACGTTGTCCAAGCCGTACAGGATACCATCGACCACATCCACTCCACCACCTCCATCAAGCGCGTCGCCGCCATCACCCACATCGGCTACGACGAAGACCAGCGTCTCGCCAAGGAAACCTCGGGTCTCTACCTCATCATGGGCGGCCACTCCCACACCCCTCTCGGCGACTTCCCCGGCGCAGAGGGCCCTTACCCCACCATCGTCAAGAACAAGGACGGCGACGAGGTCTTCATCGTCACCGCCTACCGCTGGGGCGAGTACCTCGGCTACATCGACGTCACCTACGACGCCGACGGCAAGATCCTCGAGTACCACGGCGGCCCCATCCACCTGACCAACGAGACCAAGCAAGACGAGAATCTCCAGAAGCAAATCGACGCGTGGCGCGTACCCTTCGAGGAGTTCTCCAAGCAGGAGATCGGCACCAGCAACGTCATCCTCGAGCAGTCCACCTGCCAAACCAAGGAGTGCACAATGGGCAACTTCATCTGCGACGCCATGCTCGACTACCGCCTCAACGGTTCCTCCGAAGGCGACCTCCCTTCTTTCGCCCTCACCAACGCCGGCGGTATCCGCGCCTCTATCGACGTCGGCCCCATCACCCGCGGCGAAGTCCTCACTGCCTTCCCCTTCGGCAACGCCGTCGTCGAAATTGTTTTGTCAGGCCAACAGCTCTGGGACGTGCTAGCGGGTATCGTCGCCCGCGTCAACAAGGCCAACGGCAAAGCCGTCACTTCCTTCCTGCAGGTCTCTCGCGGCATCAAGATCGAGTACCAGCCTACCAACTCGCCCGATAACGGCGTCGGCACCCTTGCGGCCGTCACCATCGGCGGCGAGAAGCTTGACCTCACGAAGCAGTACAAGGTCGTTACTATCGACTTTGTTGCTGGTGGAGGCGATAACTTCTTCTCGGAGGCGTTTGCTAACTTGGTTGTGCTGGATACGCTTGATGAGGTTCTCGTGAATTATATCGAGAAGACGACGCCCGTGGATGTCAGGATTGAGGGACGTATTGCACCTTATAGCAAGTGCGGTGGGAGGAAGAAGAGCAAGAAGTTTAGAAGGGAGAGGGAGTAAAGGGGAACACGGGAAGAGATATGATTCTGTATTGGATGTAATGATTGTTGATGAGATGATGTAATGTGTTGACATCTTGTGTTCCAATGGGCTGCTCCTCTGCGATGGAATGGACGTGATGAAGTGATGCCTGCGGCAGCACCTTCCGGGGAGGGGACCTCGCTTCTCTCGATATGTTGACGATGTAGTGATGATTCTTGGCTCATCTGGCCTTGGTACTTGACAATGTCGACGGTGTCTCAATGGCCTCCAACGGCGTCATACTTGGCCTGCCCCCTTCCCATGCCCTAGTGCCCGTTTTCCTTTATTTTCCCGGACTTCTTCATAACAGTTCCGCCTTTTGTATTGTTTATCCCTTGCCTCCGGCCTCGAGGTCCCAAGACTGAGAGCAAAAAAGCTGGAACGCATCAACACCCATATATCCCTACACGTGCAACTAGGTGTTTCAAAATACAATGGTTAGTCAAGCCCGTGATTTACTCCTTTGTTAACCCATTAAAGAACACTCCCGTCCTATACCCGCGTATACTATTCAAGAAACATCAAACCAGTCGTGTAATCCCTTCCATACTTTGATGTCTGCGGTATTGCCTTTATTACCGACAATGCATCACACCTTCAAAGGCCTTGGGAGCATGAGGCGGTCATGCATCATACCTTATCAAAGTGAGGACTGGGCCAGTCAATGGCTTCTTGAGAAGCTGGGGACAAAGTGTGTGTAACAATAGACAGGTATAAATCCATCGACAGTCAGCCACACATCACCTCCTTCCAGTTAGTCTCCCAACAACGGTTGGTGCCAGAGTCTCTGAGAGCTGTGCTAGCCCCATTCGCATTTTTCGTTTACACTTACTACGCTCTCCTCGAGCCACACACCCACACAACCATCGCCACCAAAGATGATCACCACAACCCTCTTCTTCCGAACGGTCACTCATTTCGCCCTACTAGGGCTGGCAACCATTAACACCACCACTGCCGTCCCCGTAGAGGTAGAGATAATCCAACACTCCTCCAACTCCTCCACCAACTCCTCCACCAACTCCAACTCAACCGGCACCCACCACCCGCTCCATGTCGCCCGCGGCATGAACCTGCGAAAAGAATGCCGCAACTATGTCAACACCGTCGACCGCTCCTCCGGCGCCTCCCCCCTTCTGGAGAGACTGCGTACAGATCTACAAGAAGGCCGACGCCAACAACGGCGACTTCTGGATGTTCATGAACAAAGCCAACGAAGGGGAGAACACGCTGGTCAAGCACGGGACGTGCGCCTTCGGCGTGCACGTGCACAAGGGCCACGGGCCTTTGGGGAGTCTGGGGCTGGTCGGATACCAGGATATTTTGGAGGTGTTGATGGCGACCGAGAGGATGGCTGCGGCGACTTGGGCGGCCAACGATAACCGGTTGGAGAAGGGCAAGTTTGAGAGTTTGGATGGGAAACAGATCACTAGGAGGCTGAGAGATGATGCGAGGGTGCAGAGTAAGGGGGATATGGACTGTCATCATTGGATGCTTCATGATGAAACTTTCTGGGTCGAGTGGGGGTTGTATCGTTCTTAGATGTTTGTTGGGTATCACCCATGCTCCTGGGCCTGGCGGCCTTCTATGCCACATGCAGTAAGGCAGGTTTCTCTGTTTCTGGAAAACTGAGTTGGGTTCCGACGGAAGAAGAGCAAGAGGAACAGGAAGAGAAGGACTTCTGGACCAGACCTTCACAATGGAAAGCTTTGTTAACCCACCAAAGGAAACTCCCCGTCCTTTCCCGTGTTATAACAAACAACCAGCCGTGCCGTATAATCCCTACCTTGATGTCTGCCACAACCTCTTTGTTACATTGAAAGTCTGACCATGTCTGCCGTAGGTCCTTTGTTACAATGGACATGACCTTGAAAGGGCAACTCGGTGAGGGAGAATGAGAACTATGCCGTCATACATCAGAGGTATTCAAGTCCCGCCCTGGCTATTCAAGGCAAGGAAAGCCATACACTATGTGTGTAGGAAGTGGATATAAGTTCTTGACAGTACCCCTAGTCTGTCACACATCACTTTCTTCCCGTCATCATCACCTATCCTTGTCCTTTGACGACTGGAGCTGTACCTGAGTCTCTGAGCTGTGCTCGTCCTCTCGCTTTCTTACACCTTGACCCTGACTCTCTTTCCAAGACGGGATGTTCCAAGTAACACATACACTCATTCAATCATCTCATCCACGAGAAGATGATCCCCACAACCCTCTTCCGAACCACCCTACTAGCCTTGGGGCTCGCATTTACCACAACCACCGCCCTCCCTACAACCGACCTTGAACTCTCCTCTCTCAGCCCTCCTCCTCCTCCCAGTACTCTCACCACCACCAACAATACTACCACGGACCTGAACATCACCGAGTCCGCCCACCCCATCCTCGCCACCCGCGGCGAGCAATGGGAGTGCAAAGACTACAGCGAGACCATCGTTGAATCCTCCAGAGGCCTGGGCTCCCCCCGGTGGGGCGACTGCCTCAAAATGTACAGCAACGTCGCCTATAATGGGGCGGGGTGGAGATACCCCAACTGGAACGGCGGCGGGCACCAGGAACTCGCGCATGAACTGACGTGCGCCTTTGGCGTGAGGGTTCTGGCGGGCCAGCATCCGCAGGGGACCTGGGCCAAGGTCGGGGACCGCGACCTGAAGGAGATCATGCAGCGGATCAGGGAGGTGAAGAATGGCGGGAAAGAGATCGGTGAGGAGGTTAGGTTGAAGGCAAGTGGGAAGATGATGTGTTATATCGCTTCCCCCCTAATAAAGAAACTGTGGAGGGTTGAGTGGGACTTGTATAAATATTGCCCGCAGTATACGGGCTATATTTGCGGATGAGCATACAGCTCACTGGTGGTGGTATGAGCCGATGGATGTGGTCTGTGTGTGTGGATGGATGGAAATCAGACTATGCGCTGGAGCCCTGGGCGTCGATCCGGGCAGTCATTCTTGATCTTTGTACGTATTTTTGGAAGCATTTTCTACGAATAGGGGCCTATTAGACTTCAATTCTTCAATTTACCGTATGGATACCTGCATATTACCGTGGTTCATCCTTCGCGTCCTTTTGGTCAATACCTACCTGCCTCTAACCGCTCTCCCGTCCTTGTCATTTGGCGCGTGCAACCCTCTCTGAGGTAACCTATAACTTGTACTCCACCATGCACAGTTCATTAACGGTTGGTTTGTTAGCGTAGGACTTCTTCCGGCGTTTAGCAGGGGAGAGACATGGCACCTTGGGAACAACGTGATTGGCATAAATATTCATCAAGCCAGGGCAGACAGTGAGATTCAGGTCGTGTAACGAGCCTGAAGTTTGTAGATCATCCCTAAACGGACACGTGCATATTTCCAGCGGTTTTCTAGCTCTTGTATCGTCGAATCCCACTTAACCAAAGTTGAGAACGCGAAGTGGCTCACGAAGTACCACGGTAGCAAATGAATCAAGGTTGGACATGGGGTGTACCTTTAGGTGTTTGATATTCAGCCCACCGTGCAGCCGTCAGGCACCAAGCCACCAACACATGGAGACCTCGGGTTTAAACACCAAGATTTCCATCCGCAACTGTCTCCGATGATCACTTCTTTTCTCGTATTTTGAGGACTTTCGCGTCCCGTGCTATAGCAAAACATTGATCCTGACCCAAATCTTTCCCTACCTCTAGTCAGGAAGATGATTTGCACGGCCTGTTTCGATCTGGCCGTCCAGATAAACGCCATACCCGAGTCAACAATCAAAATTCACCCCAAATGGGGCTACAGGTACCACGAATTCGGTTGGAAGACAGTCCGACAGCTCCTCGACTTTGATGCCTATCAAAAGTGCGACCTGTGTAAAGCGTTTGTCTCCGTCGTTACGGTGGACCGGTTGAACGAATACATACAACGAACCCAAGAGACAGAAAAGCCAATTGGGGTCCAACCATCACATATTAATGATATTTCTGTTGGCGATGGGCCTGGTAACGTAATCCAATGGGCTACCTTTATCCTAGGACCTAAGGATTCTGATCAAATTATGTTTCCAGTATGGCGAGGTAAGTGGTACCTTTACTACCTGCAGTTCCACCTATTTCCCATACTCGCAAGGTGTCTTGTTATTCGCGTTCTCGGATTTAACCCTTTTTTACATACTTCTAGAGCATGATTCGGATAAAATGGCTGAAACGGATCCTTTATTCCACTCGTCTACACGTAAAGGTGTCTCTTGGGCGAAGCCTATCATGGACACCACAGCCAGAGGACCAGGGACTGTTGCTCAAATCAAGTCCTGGCTGTGGCAATGTGTCAGTGATCACCGAAAGTGTAGACTCGCGCTCTCCGGTGAAGATTTCGGAGTTTATCCCCAGACCTCATCCCTGGATCAGGGCAAGCTGCCTTCCCGGATACTTGACGTTGGACTCACCGGTTCACCAGTCGTGAGACTTGTCGAAACCATGACAGAAACGCCCAAGGCTTCCTACGTTGCGCTCAGCCATTGTTGGGACCCCCCAGACAAACGGCCCCTCTAAACCACGCTTGCTACGTTGGAGGACCATAAATACCCTGGTATACCATTCGCTTGCCTTCCTCAGACTTTTGCGGATGCGGTTTGGGTCACCAGAGAGTTGGGAATCCGCTACCTCTGGATCAACTCTTTGTGCATCATCCAAGACAGTCCGTCAGACTGGGACGCAGAGTCACAGCAAATGGGTTCCATCTACTAAGGGGCGACACTCACACTGGGAGCCGCGTATGCCAGCAATTCCTCCGACGGGCTTTTCAAAGGTCTTAAAAGACCGGACCGAAAGAAGATCGTCAAGGTTCCAGTTTACAACAACATGAAGCACACGGAAGGTCATTCAGACCTGGCTGTACAATCTTATGCGACCTGTTTCCTTGCCGAACCGGACTGGCCAACCGACCCTAACCCGTGGTACGACAGCCCCCTGTCCCGACGCGCTTGGGTGATGCAAGAATGGAACCTCTCCCGCCGGTTCTTTTGGTCCGAAGAGAAGTCGCTGCACTGGAGGTGCCGAGAAGAAACGAAGGCGGACCGCTACGTCGACGTGAGGCCCGTCGAGTTCGATTCGTACAGCTTGATAACCAGCAACTGGCATCGCTTGATGCAAAGCTATTCCAGGATGCAGCTCACTTTTGAGACGGACAGACTTGTCGCCCTTTGTGGTATGGTAGCGGCCCTCAAAACGTCTGACAGGAAAGATCAAGAATACCATTTCGGCATATGTATGGATGGCCACGGGACGCTCTCTGCGCTGTTCTGGGAGCTAGACGACCTCCATGTCGACTCGGTAGAAGTTTATTTCCTGGGAATCCCGTCCTGGAGTTGGGCATCCATAGTGGGCGGGAAACGGTTCAGAGCCATCATACCGTCCTCCGACAGAAACCGGTACTATTACGACGACCGGGGGATAACTGCGGAAAACAACGGAACCGAGCTTCACTTTTGCGCACCGATAGGCGTGGTTCAGCTTTGTCTGGAGGAGCAGTATGCTGACCATTGCCGAAGAAAGTCTGCAAGCCGGTATCGAAAAATGTCAGTTTATGCAACCACAAACCTAAGTCCCTACGGAGAGACGTGCTTCGGGAGCCTAACCCTCGACTATACGATTGACATATCCAATTGCCCTCCACCGTCCGGCTTCACGCGTCATGTTATTCCGCTTGTCAGAGAATCAGGCATCAAAAGGCAGGACGACAGAAACAAGGATTATATGCTTGTCGTCGAACCCGTGAACAAACCCGACGGCAGCAGGGCTTATCGACGAGTGGGAATGGGCTTGGTTGATCAGAGGTTTATGTTTGTGTCTGGAGTCAGCTTCGACGGGAGCATGCTGAGATGGGAAGAGAAAAAAAAACCTACTGCCTATGTTGCCAGGGAAACACCCCTTCTCTGCTTGTTTTTGCTTTCTTCCATCCCACCTTCCCCAAGCTCTTAACGTTGCCACAAAAAACTGAAAAAAAAAAAGAAGAAGAAAAAACTGAAAAAAAAACAAGAGGGAAAAGAAATACGAACGGGAACATCCGAAATCCGCATACCTCGGCCCACCATCACATCCACTGATTGACGCTCCCGTTCGGCTCCCCGCATCCGGCCTGTCTGTCAGTGCTAAAAGTTGACGACAACTCCATCCATCAATTCACCGGGGTCCGAGACCGATCAGGGCCCCAAGGGGCATTATCAAGCGGCGCATTACCCATAACAGGATCAACTTGCGAATTGCGACTGAGGATTCTGACATCTTGACACCTTGGACAGCATGCATTAATTTCCCCCCCAACGTCGTTTCCGCAACATGTGTCAAAACGTGGGAAATGGCCATGTAGCATTCGGTCCGTTGGCAACCACGATCAAACTGTGCTTGGGTTGGCGGGCTTATGGGCTGGCTTGGCCTGGCTTGGACGGGTGGTAAGCGGGAAAACACCACTACAAAATGGCGGCCGACGTTGGAAACTGGAAAGCGGTCATAATTGATGATAAATCAGGTCTTAAGACCGCCATAAACGCGATAGGCCCGCGAGGTGTTTTTTATGCCCGGAGAGGTCTACGGGTGGCTGTAGTGACCGGGGCCCCGGGCTTTCCGGCTAGCACGATCTTAGCGCTCTTGGCTAGTGTCTTAGCAGGTCCACAAAGGATGGCGGTCTCCCCTTGTTAGTGTCACGATAGCGCGCCACTGGCATTTCCCCCAGCTTCCCTGTCGAGGTGCCTGGTGTCGTTGCTTTTTTTGTTCCTGGCTTTCCTGCCCCCAACCCAAAAGCCTCACAATCCCACCTGACCACACCCTTTCTTGCCCTTTCCCATCTGCAGCCGCCTGGACTCCCGGCCCTCCTTCTTCATTCTTCTTCTTCTTTTATTCTCTTCTCTTTCCCTTTTCCATCATCGTCAAAGAGTTGTACCTTACTCACGGACTCCGCCAAGACAACAGCTTCATACGGTCGACCGGGACAACACGAGAACCTCTCAGGTACTCACTCTCTCACCGACACCCCCGTCACCGTCAACATCACATCATTACCTACCTGTACCTACCGCCAAAATGTGGACAATCGTCGCCCGCTTTGCCGAGGCCGCCGCCTCCGTCTCCCACTACATCCGTGATGAGCCCTGCGCAACCGGCATCCATCTGCTCGTCGCCCGCGGCACTACTGAAGCTCCGGGTGTCGGGCGGATGGGCGTTGTTGCCCGGAAAGTCACCTTGGCCATCCCCGGATCTACCATCGAGGCCATCGACTATCCCGCTGTCTTCTCCAACTACAGCGATTCCGAGGAGAAGGGAGCCATTGCCTTTGAGAAGAGGCTCATCGCTTACCATGAGAGGTGTCCGGACACCAAGGTTGCCCTGCTGGGATATTCCCAAGGCGCGCACGCCATGATGGACTCGCTTTGCGGCAACTCGGGAGAGGGCAATGATTACCAGGCTAGCAAGGGGTATTTGGAGGTGTTCAACGAGACTGGTATGTTTGCTTCTCTCCTTTATTTTCACCTCATGTTTCGAGTTCAGGATTGAGAACCAGACGTGGACCCTTGAGGTTGGGCGCAAACATGAACATGGAATGAAGCTGACGTGGGACATAACAAACAACAGTCGTCGCGGCCGTTGCCTACGGTGACCCAAGCCACACAGTCAACGGAACCGATGGCGGCGCTCCCTGGAACCTTGGCAGCAGCACCCACAATGGCGTAAGTTTCCCTTTTTTCATCAGCCTCCCTTCTTATTTAATGAGCTGTATTGACATAATATCAAGATCTTCCCCCCGCGAGAACATGACCTCCTGCCTTCCCCTCGCTGACCGTATCGCCTCTTGGTGCGATACCGGCGACGTCTACTGCGATAATGGCCAGGACAGCACCGTCCACGGGGGCTACTTTGGCAACTACACCACCGAGACTGTCAACTGGATCGTTGAGAAGTACAACGCTGCGATTGCTGCTGACCAGAAGGACGGTGGTTCCGACTCGGGTAACTCGACCTCCACCGTTCCTGCTTCTTCGTCGACCTCCACCGTTCCTGCTCCTTCGTCGACCTTCACCGTTCCTGCTCCTTCGTCGACTTCCACTGGTGTTGCTGCCCCTACTGGATCCGGATCGCCGGTTGTGAGCGCGACGCCCAGTGTCTCTGCCTCAGGCACGCCTGTTGAGGGTGCTGCTGTCAGTGTGCGTGGATCGAGTATGATGGTTTTTGCGGGTGTTGTTGGTGCTGTTGGTATGGGTTTTGGTCTCTTTTAGAGATAAGTTGGTGGGTGAGGTGAGGTTGCACAAGAACGAAGTATGAAGCAAATTGGATACGAGTAATGATCGGAACGGAGGGTATATGCCTTAATCCATATGAGTTTTAGTTCATGCACACATTTACACCTTATACATAGAACTAATGTTGGATGAGAATCTAGTTTTGGCTAGACAAAAGCGTTCTTGGCTTTCAAGACCCCGTATTACAGCATCGCGCTCAACTGTGCAACTAACTCGGCGTTTGGCGGCCATGCACCATGTCCAACACCGAGATCCGTCAGACCCTCCCGCCTCACCCAAGCCGCTATCTCCGACCGTGCCAAGTTCCCAAGTCCCGTCCTGAACTCAAGCAGCATCAACCAACTTCTTCACAAACGCCAACGCCTGCGTCCCATACTTATTCACATACTGCTGATGCGAGTTGGCATCATTGCCATTGCAGCAGTACGGGTCAGTCGAGTCGCAATAACTCTGGATAATCGACGGGCTAGCAGGGGAGCACTGGAATCCGCTCGGCCGGGCGGCAAACTGTTTTGTTACACAACATCGTCAGCATCATCATCTCACCCACTCCTACCCCCCTCCCGTCCCCATCTCCCGTCCGGATGGATGTGTGGTAACTCACCCCCTTATTCCTACACGTCCCAACATTATACGGCAACCCATCAACATAATGCGGATCCCCCATGAAAATCGCCGCCTTAACCGCCTTCAGCGCATTTCCCGTCAGTGTAGCGCCGGCGCCTCCACACAGGGCATTATCCATGATCTGTCCACCCTGGGAATACCCCACCAGCACGATCTTGGTATCAGGACATCGTTGGTTGAGGCTGGTAACGGCTTTGACTACCGCTGCTGTCCCCTGCGATGCGGAATTTTCGTAGGAAACGCCCCCGCAGGAAGATTGTCCCCCGCAGGCAGGGTACACGATGGCTTCTTTTGTTGAACCCGGGTAGGACGAGGAGATGCTATTGACGAGACCGGCAGAGGTGCCGTAACCTTGCGCGACGGTGGTTTCGCGGGCGCCGAAGATGTGCACTTTTGGGCAGCTGGATTGGCGGGGGGTGATCTGGAGGGGGTTGGCGGCGGCGAAGCCGGTGAGGAGGGCGATGGTTGTGAGCTTCATTGTGACGGGCACGGGAGTAAGGGTGATGTGAAGGGGGAATGTTGTGAGCTGTGAGGATGGAGATGTGGCTTGAGTGGAGGAGGAAGCTTAGGTAGGAATGGGAAGAGAGACTGGTTTTATACTTCCCGTCTACTTTGAGCATTGAAGGGGTCGCTTGGACACTCTGATGTTGAGAGAGGAAACCTGAAGAACGTCCGAGGCCAACTGAAGTGCAATCTATATCCATCAATGCTTTGGCGGCTAATATCTATCTCACGTGGCATCTTGTTCCTGTTTCATTCAACATGTCACTCCATTACTCGGCAGAGCCTGCACTGGCATTGAAGATCTCTCGCATCGGACATATGGAAATCACGGGGGACGGCATGTAAGTGCCGCGAGATAGATTGTTTTGTGGGGAAGTCACTTGTGGCTAAATGCGGTTCCCCATGGGGTACGGCGATCTTGTCATTTATCCTAAAGATGGCATAATGTTCTTTTGACTCCTGACTTCAGCCGCTTTATAAGATCTGGCAGGAACTATGAGCTTGAAACACATGATACCTCTATTTGGATCATGGTAAAGAAGTGAATGTGTGGGGGGGTGCCCGGCACAAAGCAACTATGAGATGGTAAAGACTGAAATACGCAGGAAATTGAGCTGGAACACGAGGGGAATTTCTCAAAACCAAGCAAAGGGGATACATGCCCCTGGTGAGGTGTTGTATGTAGGAGTTCTTTACCAGAATGGAAATAACAGAATAAACATGACCATGTCATGGACATAGACTCGAGGACTCAGTGGCTCAGTGCGGAGCACAAGGAACGCAAGGACGGTCCTATATATTGGGAATTCGACACCTCCATGTAACTGACCCCTTCCAAACGGGAAATGTGTTTCCATTTCCTAAGTCTGTCTCCGTAACCGGCTCACCGTCGCAAAGAAACTCGCTTGTACCCACCTTCCAATGTCCCGCTTCGGGGCGCTCTGGATCAGGTTCAAATTTGTTGTCAATGAAGTTTCTCTGCATGTTCATTCCGCGGCCGAAATTGGTGTCTCTGCCATTGATGTACTCTAGAAAGTCCTCAGAAAGCCTGGGATCTTCGTCGGTAGAGTTCTTGATAACGTCGAACATGGCGTTCAACTTGTCCACAACCTCATCACCTCCTCTCTGTCTCAGAATGCTAAAGTCATCAATCGAGTTCTCTGAAGAGAAGTGCCGTCGAAACTTCGTGAAAAAGTTCAAGAGCTTAGGCCGATAAGACTTGTCCAGGAACCAGTTATCTTCGTACTTAGTTCTCAAAGGTGTTAGGGCCCGTAATATCCGGGATCTCATTTGGTTCGGCCTGGGTTTTGGTGTACCATGCTTTGACATTGTCATAGGTTGTCCGGATACCTTGAGGTGACTGGGACTCTGCCGTCCACCCGGCACCAAATGCGGTGAGGGAATGTTTGGGTGGCCGGCCATTGTGAATTGGAAAAGATCAGGAGGATGAATGTGGTGGGAGTTTGGGTTGTCAGTACAGGTAGCGATGATTCTTGAAGAGTGTCAATCAAGATGTGAAGCGTGCTGCTCTGGTCAATTATCTCTAGAATGTCATGTCATCGCTTGCATCTTATATCTCCAAAACATTGCCGATAAATTGAAGGTCTCTCCTCGTACGTCCAGAGGGCCTCGCCTCGTCCGTTGCAAAACCCATTGTCACTCGCAGTTTGTGCCAGACTTCAAACAAAGAGAAGGAGTTACCATCGCCAACACCATCGCCATTGAACACCATCGTCACTGCTGTTGATGAAGTGGGGATAATGGTCTTTGTGATGAAACTGTGTCTAAACCCAACAGCAAATAAGCCCAGGACACTGTAATCGTCCTCTACGACGAAATAATGAACCTTTTGTTGGCACTTTACCTAAGGCAGCTTCCCAACCATCATTGTCTCCTTCCGCACAACTGGGACTGCAACGTGTTGTCACCAAGCGCCAGTGACATTGATCCCGGGCCGAGGTTGTGTTGTGTCGAGAAGAAGATCAACGACGGGTCTGTTGGTATACCTACCCAGTGTACCAGTTGGTTCGCCGCGAGGAGGTCCACTAACCTACCTTACTGTAGCGCGAGGTATGTACCTAGATGGCCAAGATACCTATAGCGTACCAGATAAATATGGACTGGCGAGTGAAGGGAACATTGTATTCTGAAAGTCGAGCTACATATGATCACTTGGAACAGCTACGCCAAAAGAATCAAGGGGAAACCATACCTCAATCGGTACTTACTTTGCTCTTCGCTAAAACTATAACCCGTCTATCTTTTTGTTGTCTCTCGGCATTACCTCCGCTTTGTAGTTTGAACTCTGACTTCATGAGCTTCGGACCTCGGAAGTGTTGGAACAGGAATATAGAAGTCCTCCCTGTCATTAATCTCCACGTTTAACCTCGGAGCACAAAGACGAGCTCTGCTTGTGTTCCGCAGCGGTGTTTCCATTCTAGAGTCGCCTGATTCCTCAAGTCAAGAGCTCGAGAGCAGGATCGGTAATCTCACGTAGATTCCTCCTCGCACTTCCGCTTCCCTTCCCTTGACCTAGTTACTCTTCCATCTCTTTAGGTACCGTACTCCTCCCTCTGCTCAATCTCCACCTTCAACCGCTTAATTGCCTTATCGAGCCGCTCTATGAACTGCTCGTCATCCACCCGCTCCATGTACCTACTCACCGTCTCTTCCCCGTCCTCCTCGGTGTTTTCTTCCCTTTCCTCATCATCCTCTTCTCCCTTGTGATCAACCGACGGCCTCCCTCCTCTTTATATATATTATGAAATTTTCCGGATCGCTTTTGATCTTGTATTTCCAATTATCTCCATCCAAAAACAGCCAAATTTGCGTCATCGCATTAATCTGGGTCATGGCATCTTCAAACTTGTCACGGAGGGAGGTACCAGCTTTCTCGTTCTCGTCACTGTCCCTCTCATTACGCCAAACTGAGGCCGACCTTTTCCATATGCGCAACAAAAATTCTTCTGGATAATCGTGCACTAACAAGTTTGTATCATCATCCAGACACCATCCAACTTGCTTGGGTATGTCTAGTAATAGGATGGCTTGGATAGTGCGGTCATCGAGTCCGTGATTCGGAACGTACGGGGGCGGTGGAACGTACGGGGGCGCTGGATTGTTCGAGGGCGCTGGATTGATCGAGGGAGGCCCGACTACTAAGTACGGAACCATGTGTGTCAGCCATATGCTCGTCATTTCCATTTGTTCCTTCATTCCACAACAACAGTTGTCAGCGTACTTTCTAGGGTCAAGACACCTACTCGCGTTTTCGTAACTCCAGATCTCACCCGGCCGTTTTGGTCGCGTGGAAAATACAAACTGATGAACCGCCAGTGAACGAACGTGGTTGTTGGTTGAGCTCGACATTGATCGTGGACGGACGTAAGGAGGTATTTTGCGAAAGGTAGACGTAGAGAGGGCAAGTGAAGGGAAGAAAAAACAGTCTTATGACAGTGTTCAAGGGGTTTATGGCTTGTGTTGGTGACATAGGCGAGTCTGTGGACTTGAAGTGGTAAAACATAGTACGCCCATAGGGATGCCGGATGCAGTCCTCGTGGACAGGCAGAAAATTGGGAGGAATTGAGTGCGTAGAGATACCAACTGCCGAAATAGAATGTAAGACGTGATGAAGTGGAAGATGAGGTCAACAAAACATATTTATGGGCCTGAAAAGGCCAGGATACGTACAGAAATGCTTGTAGCCACTCTTCCTTCCTTGTCAGGCTACTATACCTTGGATGTAGGCAGGGGCTTTCCTTGTGTGTATGGCTTCCTTCTGTTGTGAATGGAGAAGCTTCGTTCTTTCCATCGCTAGACTACATACTCCTCTCTCTTATCAGTAAGGGCTCCTTCCATATTAGTATCTGTGCCAGTGACTTCCTTGGTGTGTCGAGCAAGCGCTCCTCCGCACGGCAACCGTCGGCCCAGACAACGCCTGCATCAACAACATGCAACCCCCTCGTGCCATCAGGGATTCTGCACCTGCAGGCAGGATCCTGCATATCCCGTATTTCCACCACAATGTTACGATCCAATCGTTGAGCCTCATTTAAGCTAGATAGATTGACCAATCAGATAGGACCCGGGGTCCCGAGTCTACGGGACCACGGGACGGACCCGATGTCCCGGGCTTTCGGGACCACGGGACGGGGTTGAAGACCAGTATATAAGAAGGCCTCCCGGCCTTCGTTATACCGGGTTCTTCAGCAAGCAATAGCTATCACAATCTATCAGTACCTTTTGGCTACTACACTGTTACTCTATTGTTCTATCCCAGCGATAATCCTCCTGTGCTTGTAACGGTTCGTCACACACGAGTCTATGTTTGGGCAACACATGATTTACACTGGCAATAGGCCTCGGTTTGCCCTCGGATTAAAGGGTTTGGTGGACAGTTAGGGCAATGCTCCTATTTTTGTATGCTAGATTCACCGATGTGGCACGTCTCATGCACTACGGGAGGCGGAAGTAGACGTTAAAAATAACAACAACAACAACAACCACAAGAGTCTATGTTTCATTGGCAGTACGTGATACCTGCCCTTCTCCAACGTGCTGCAATTGAAGAAGCCCCGCCTCCTTATCTTCATTCTTTCTTTCAAGACTGCGACTTCATCGCCACTCTCGTACTTTTGTCCATTTTTACCACGCTCATTTCGACAGCCACATTCTTCGAGTTAAGATATCGACACGAACAAGAGCGGTGATGCCAGTTAACAGATGTTTACAACTCATACGTTGATGCAATTATTCATACAGGTAGGTCCTCAAGGCATGGATTAGTTGATCTCTTCGTCGCCTCATTTTTAGATCCACCTCTCTACCACTTCAACTACACTGAGACACTCCCTCACTGTCTCGTATGCAATGCTTTTATGCTTATTTCGAAGCTTCAGGTACGAAAGAACTGTCTCTCCTATCTCATTGACACGTTTAGTGAGAGTGTCTTCAAAGGGTATCGTGTTGCACTACCGAGTGACTCCCATCACAACAAACCAAACGCCCGGTAACTCCAGATTCCGAAAGGGCACAAAACATGCCAAACAGATGCAATAAAAACTCCCAATCCCAATACAAGACTATGTAATCTTGGCTTTAAGCAGCGCCGAGCGCAGCCTATTGCCAGACTCTTTCAATCCTCCACCATCAACAACGCAAGTCTGCGCCTGGCAAGTAGACACCTGATAACCTGCAGTCTATCGCTATCCCACGGGCAAGAAGAGACCAAAACACTTCTCAGAGAGTAGGTAGCGGCCAAGCCCAACGGCGGTTTACTCCTGACGATCCTGAAGAGCCATGCGAGAGCCCAGCTCAAAGCCCTCCATGCAAGCACGGACGAGCTCTGGGCGGTTGGTGTAGTCGAGAGGTTGTAAGGCTCGGGCATTTTGACCGTTGCCAGCAGAGACCCAAAGCTCCGCTCTCTTCAGCGCCTTGAAGGCAACTTCCTCCTGGGCCTCGTGCTCGCTGGACTTGTTCGACTCGCCTTGGACCATGGTGCCGCCGACAAGGACGTGGTAGCGGTAACCGGGTTGGAAGGTTGGAACGAACAACCATTGGAGAGAAAGGCCGTTCTCGGAGTACTTGAAGCCGAGAAGGTCCTGGTAGCTCAAGGGCTTTGGCGCGCCCTGGTTGTCTCTGGGCTCAACAAAGTCTGCGGCTGGTTTGATGTTCTCTGCCGCCGCAACATTGACAGGCTCTGCAGGGGCTTGGTTGGGCGCAAGATTGGCGATACCAACCAGGGGCATCTCCTCGTCTTCGTCCTCCTGCTTGATCTGAGGACGGCTTGCCCGTATCTGTGCAAGCTGAGCCTCTCTGGTCTCCTCCTCCTTCGCCCTCTCTTGAAGATAAGCCGCCCATCCCTCGTCTGGTTCGCTCAAGAGAGCCTCACATTCAGCTTTGAGAGGTTCAGTTGGACAGACAAGTCGCGCCGCCTTGCTCTCCTTGCAGTACCAGTTCCACATCAGCGTGGCTGTCTCCCATGACACCGTGCCGTGCGACAGGGCACCGGGGCAGCCGAGTCCTTCCTCCTCAAAATGGCGACGGAAAACTTCGCGCTTTGTGTTCTAGTATGCGTCTGACAGGGCCCGTCTGTCGAGGAGATTGGGCGCGACGCTGGTGATGTCCTCTGCGATAGCAAAGAGGAGGGCGAGCCGAAGTCTTTCCTTGGCTTGGTTGTAATCTTCTTGGGCAGGGGCAAGAGCAGACATCGTGGGAGCAGCTGAGGGTGAGGTGAGTGTGAAAGAAGGTAAGCTGCAGCCAGCAAAGAATTTGGTTAGCAGTTTGAAGTGATATTTCGTGGTGAAGACGTATATACGACGAGAAGAGTGGGCGCTTTTGACCTCCTTGAGAGAAAATTGAGGGGGAAGTTGATGTTCTGATGGGGACATTTGAACGATTATCTTAATAGAAGTCGGAATATTTTACGCTGGGTTTTTCGACGCGACGCGAGAAGGTCAAATGGGGTGTGCTGGTTATTACGAAAAGTTGGAAACGGGTGAAAGTTCAGCCCTGCAACCTAAGGCAAACGTAAACGGCTGACAGGGCTGAATGGAATACACTTCACTGGCAGGTAGGTCGATGGCCAGGCAGAAGGTAACATGTCTGCCGCCGGACCGATGAAGGACGGGATGAAAGTCGTTGGCCTAGAGCAGAGGTACCAGCAACGAGCTTATATCGAGAAGGAAGGCACAACGACAACATTCCACTGTCCAACCGGTTATAACAGCTCCTTTCCCCCGCCTCCGAACAGCAACAAATGCCCTCATCTCGCCCTTCACTTAAAGTATACCTCTACTGCAGAAATATGGCTTCGAGCTTAATACCTGTTTATTTCTGTTTGCTACAGCGGAATAGCCACTCCTACCATAGACGGTACGTAACCCTAAGAATATCGCAGCCATCGAAGGAATAAAACTGAGAGGCCTTCTACAAAAGTAGAAGGAATACAAACCTTAACAACAATGACGACGAGGACGACATGCGCACGCACCGCCGCGTTAAGCGCCCACATTCTACGGGAGGAAACGTGGTGGTCCGCCAAATACCTCTACAGAGAAAGCAGGAGGTTGCTTCACTCCTTGACAGAATGAACATCTAATCTTCACCTATGTAAAACCTGATGCAGAGTCTTTCAATACGATGGATGGTACCTTAGTCTACCTCCTTTGTCCACCTCTCGAATAGACCAAGTATAATGTCCGACACCGCCACGATCCATCTTTCATTAGCGCAATCTGCTTTAGCATTGCCTTCGCCACAGGCATCCACATGCCCCTAATTTTGGGCAGATGGTATAAACGCCGCACGCAAACCCCCTATAGTAGCATCCACGACATATGAGACCTCTTCCGCTAATGTCGTACCTATACAGGAGCCCTAACCAATGAGTCGGGGCTGGAGGGAATCCTATACGAGCACTACTATTACTGGCTCCGGTCTCGAAAATCCGAGAGCAGCAATGAAGTACGCGCAAAGCAATAGAAGATCGAAGTTGGTAGATCTCATCATCCTGAAAATGGAAGCACAGCGACAACATCAACAAACCTAAAGCTGGCTGATCCTACGGCCCCGGCCCCAAGTTCCCAACAGCTCTACCGCTTGTATTTCCGGCCCTGAGCGCCTTGAGCACCCTCGCAACTATGAGAAGAGAAACCGCAACATAGTCGCTGAAATAGCATCAGAGCCCCTGGAAGGGGTCGTAGCATTGACCCTGCCACGAGTTCTGAAACGCAGCAGGAGAGGATACGGGGATTCTGGCTGCTAGCTCTTGTATTTCCTCTTACTGTTTGGACAAGGGTGAGGCGTGGGCTCCAAGCGAAGGGACGAGCTGAAGGCTTAAGCATCTCAAAGCTGGCCTCGGATCGCTCTTTGGTATCGACGTAGACCTGAAGTTCGCAACCGCGGTCCATTGCTGCTTTTTCATTTGTGGCTTTTGGGTCTGGATGAAAGGTGAAAATCGGACTGAAGAGGGTGAGACGATTGAAGACGAGCTATTGCAGACAGAGTAAATGCTGGAGTGATATAAATAGTAGCAACATCATGAGAAGTGGGAGTTGGACGGAAAGATGTTGGAAAATGTTGCGTCATGGAGTGAATTGAACAGAAACAGCAATTTGCTAACTTGGGAAGTGGAAAGGCTGAGAGGAAACCTGTACAAATTCCGTCTGAATTGGGTCGGAAGCAAGCCTGGCAGACTGGACGGCTGCGCAAACTACCTCAACAGCAAGGAAACTGACGGGAGTGAAGGATATGAGGATATCGGAAGGATGGGGAGCCTAGCAAAGCACATCAGGCCACGGTGTGTAAACGGTGTAGCCGTCGTCGATGGCAACTGGACACGTCGGACCAGTTTCCGCGGTCGTAGGTACCTCTAGTCGTAGGCTTTCCTACCGCCTTCTTCCCGTCTCCTTCTCCCTCCTCCACCGCCGCGATCTGTTCCCCAATGGTCCCGTATACTGACCAGCTCGCTGGCCTCCTAGTGCTGAGGAAGCCCGAAAAGCGGCAAGCATCTGGGCGGCGATTGCGCTGGTAGCTGTGAAGGGAGTCACTGTTGCGACTGGAGACGGGGACGGGCTAAAGACCAGATGTGAAGCCGAAAAGTCCCTGAGAGGAAAACAAGGAGGGAACGGTTCGAATGTACTACTCACATGATCAAGTGGAATGGATGGTCCTCGGTCTCGACTGCCTTCTGTGATGAAGTTCAGAGCTTCACATGGAAAGCACATCCAACATTGAGCAAACATGATGTCACGACAGGAACAAATACATTTGGGGGCTATTCTTTTCATTTTCTGTTGCGAGTTCTAGCCTTGTTCCTCAATCTTGATGAAGACTGATATCAAACCCAACAACCACTCCCTTGTTGACCACCCAGACAGCAGCCAACAGCCCAGTCCCCATACGCCAAATGTACCTCTACCTATCATCCATTCCCTTTCTCCGTAAAGTTTTCGCCATTCCAGACCAGTCCAGCCATCAGCAGTTCTTGCAGCTCAAAAAAAGGCTGCTTAGCGCCTTCAGGTAAGGTCTTGTCCTTGAGATACCGCCGCATGTCGGTACAAGTCTCCAGGAACCTCTTTGCTAACGACTCCTTCCGCTCGCCCTCTGAAAGGCTCCTGATTGACTCAATACTGGCATATGCGCAGGTATTGCCGATTAACAAGCCTTTCACCGTGGTCCTGTTGGGTGATTTGATCCACCTCAGGCCCAAGTCGACCTCACGACACTTGGAATTCAACCAGTCCTGGTAGAGGATGGGAGACCGGAATGGTGACACCGTGGGCCTCGACGCAGGGGCGGCAGGGGGCACTGGGGGGCGGGGGGGAGGTTTGTGTGGACTGTGTCAGTGTGGTGTGTGTCGGTTGTGGACCAATTAACTAGCGCCGCTATATGGCGCGTCCGATAGAGTCGTCCGGCCCGGCAGACTGCCCGGTCGGACGATGTTGAGCCAGCGGCACGGTCCAGTTTCGTCGCTGGCACCTGCCCGTTTACCGAGGGCGTGGTACCTTTGGGAGAAGCAGTGAACTGATTCTTCCACGGACTTCCATAATCCTTCCATTGCCAGACAAAAGATCAGATGGGAAGTCGGTGAGGTGCACTGGGAAGTCAATCTAGAAGTGAATGGGAAGGGGATGTGATAGGGTCGATATCCACAGGGGATCCCTTCGCAAACGGACGAAATATTTCATCCTGGAGGACAGAATAGTTCAAGAAACTTCCATTTGGTCGCAAAGACTCGACGTGACAAAGTTGCTGGTGTACCGAATAAGCTGAGAATAGACAAGGTGACGTGTATTTTTTGTGGAATTATCAAACACGTTGCCCATTTGTGTTACCTCTACACATCGAAATTTGGCCCATATCCGGCATCCGAAATGAATTGACGGGCAACCTGCTGTTATTTTTATGGAATACGTGGCTCTTCTTATACTATCCTTGAAGGGACAGCTTGACTCATTAGGTATTTTCATACTATATTTGACATAGACATGGCTCATTGTAGGTCGAGGGTGTGTATCGTGTCATCCCAGTGACTGAACATTGGAAGCAAGGTCAAAGTCGGCAGGAAAGATGATGTCGAGCAGACGAGAGGCAGGTGAATACAACTAGTGACGTTGCAACAATACATTTCTAGACTCAGGAAAGGACCTCAGCAAAGGGAAACAACAGATTCACAGACATCAACGTTGATTCAACTACCTCCCTCCAGTCACCCAAGCATTCACCAACCCACAAACACACCCAGTAATAACGTACAATACCCCTACCATCAGTCCAGAGACCTCGAGACCAGTCACCGTCCCTTAGACCTAGGCCTTGGCAGCCTGAGTACTAGCAGCACCATCAATCAAAGACAAAAGTCCATCAACTAGTGTCCTGCAAGTAGTTCCTGGTCCACAACCCGCAGCAACACCACCAGCCGCATCACCAGCCCCAGCAGCCGGGTCCGCAACAACCTCCTCCTTCTCACCCGCACCCGCACCCACACCCGCCGCAGGCGCAGCCGCCGCACCATCAGGTACGAAAACCGCCCACTCACCCACCAAATCCACCACCTTGGTAGCCAACTCATTCTCATCCGCCTCAAACTCCGACTCGCCGATACCATCACCAATAACAAAACTATTGGTCTCCGTGCAGAGCTTTCCCAGCTTAGCCTGGCTGATATCAACGGTCGAGTCGGCGTTGCGGATGTAATCGATTTTGGACAAGGTGAGGCCCTTGGAAGATCCACCGCCCATTTCGACCTTGTAGGAGACGGGCTCGATGGCTTTGAAGCCTGGGGGAGCGGTGGTGGGGGTCTTGTTTTCTGTTACGCGGAGTTGGCGGGCGGTGGGGTTTTGGAACTCGACTTCGAAGATGCCGTTTGTCTGTTTTCGGTTCTCGTTAGCCACTGACTGGGTGGGTTGTTGATGACACATATGGGTGAAGGGGATGACTTACGCCAGCAGGGAAAAGAGTATCGGTCTTGATGTCACCTCCGCCAAGAGTGACGACGGTGTTGAACTTGGCGGTTTGCTCGACTTCGTTCTCGTCCTTCTCTTCTTCTTCTTCCTTGCCTGCTCCGGCACCGGCTCCAGCTCCAGCACCAGCGGTGGCAGTGGCCGAAGCAACGGCGGAGGTGGCGGTTGCGGATGCTACGACTGTGGTTGAAGAGGCGGCGACTACGATCTCCTTAGGTCCCTTGGGATGGGGAAGAGCCGCAACGGACAAGACCTGGATGGCCAGGATGAGGCTAGCTTGGAACTTCATCTTGAATGATTGTGATGTTTTTTGTGTTTCGTGTTTGTGTTTATGGCTTATGAGTGAATGAGTGAAAGGCTTGAGGTAATATCCAGCGAGCGAACTCGGAACCTTTTCAAAAAGAATGGTAGTAGTAGATAAGGTATTGGAGAATGAATGTCGGGGCCAGCCACCGAAAAGAAAGAAACAGAAGAGAAGGCAAAGTTGAAGCGAAAGAAGCCTGTGATGATGATGATGATGATGATGTCTGTGATGAAGCAATGGAAAGTAAACAGGTCAATCCAAGTAGATGCCGTCGATCACCCGCATTTATACATCTTTTATATCTGATCCATCGCCAAGAAGGTCTCATCCGCTTGGCCGACATCCAAGAGGGCCATCCCAGAACTCTTCGGTTCATCCCACCAATCTCTTCTCTGTCGTTCCCACTTGTTTGGTTTTTTTTCCAAAACATAAACTGACACCTGCCAAGATCAAGTCAAGACTTTGCCAAGCAGTGAAGTCTCTGCACGCGATGCCGGGTATCAGCACTTTTGTGTGGAGGAACTGGTTGCTTATGGTGGTGATAGGGATGTCGTGGTAATGGTGTGCTAGGAAGGACTCTACTCTCAATGCAGTCGAAACGGATACAAGGGGGTATCCCATGGTTGAAACTGAGCGCTAAGTCTTGCGCAGGCATGGATCTCGCTATAATACATCTTAACCAAGTTTTTGGACTTGATAGAGGAAAAAAACCCGGGGATTTGGGCCGAATGCGTCAAGGTGAGACAGACGAAGAGAGGTTGTTGAAGGTTGAAAGTGGGCCCCTTCAGGGGCTGCCAAAGAAAAGGGGTATTGTTTACTTGTGTCAGTGCGCATGGCTGTGAATGGCTGCAGATGGCACCCTGCAACGCCAGAGCTGGGGATGAGGCGGCTTGCCTGACACATGGTGTGATCCACTTGGCAGTTTTGGGATGACTTCTGGGCGGCTATACCGTTTTTGATGGATTGCTGGAATTGGATGAACCAGAGTTCAAGTTCAGCCATATCGTCACACCTGGAACATGGTGCGTGTTGAGGCTCTCTGGGTTCGGGTTGTGCGTTCCAGTCGAGAAAAGGTGCCGAATTGCCGATCAGGACTTGACTTTTCTCCGGACGCACTTTGCAGACAGGAAGCAGGATTATTGAAGGAGTAAGGATTCGATCTAATAAGGGAAAGCAAAGTATCTCACTCTCCAGATACACCAAGAAAGAAGGATCGGGTATCTCGGCAACAACCGAGTGTTCAACAAACAAGTAACGCTCATCACACTCCGGGTGAACAGTGAAAGATAGGTAAGGTAGGTAGGACGTGTCTTCCCTATACCCTCCTTTAGCCTCAAAACAAAATGGAGATGCGGGGGAACATTCGCAATCTTGACGACGTCGCATTCCTTCCTCATAATGTCACAAAAAAGGAGGAAAGTTCGTCATACGTCTGGTGTTATTCCCGTCTCGTCCGAACATCAGAAAAGGGAAATTGATCGTGTGCCCTCTTACCAAGCTTTTGTCGAAGCTTTTCATCGTGTTCATCTCCAAAGCTTGTCATAGCGTTCGTCTGCTATGGGCGCTCGGTAGCATGTCCGGGGCATTGTTGACAGGGGATAGTGTTAGTACCCGAGCGCGACCATAGCGGCCCATGACAGGGACCAATCCCCGCAAAGACAGGGGCTTGTTACAACCCCTTCGTTTCTGGTTGCTCTCTTCGAGGTCTTGAACCTTGCGGCCAAAACACCATTTCATTGAGTGGATGGGAATCTTGGCGGTTGTCAGGAATCCCATGCTTGGCAGGTCTCACCATGACCGTTGTCTGTTACAGAATGGTTGCTGTCGTACCGAGTCAACAAGGGAATCGATGGGACGCCACAGCGAGGGACATGGCGGCTAGGGCACGTGCTGACGCTGTGATAGGGGCAGGTACTTGGCGATGTCCGTACAGTACGCCAGTGAACGTCAAAGCCCCTAGATGATGCATGATAGCATGTTGATATCATCTCGTGGGTGTTGCTTGAAAGAAAACCCATTCGTCCGCTGTTTCTCTTCTCTTTCTCACCTTTTTCATTTCCTTCGCCTTCCCTTCACCTTCATTCTCTTTCTCCTACCTTACTAACAGGAGGAGTGCAGCCGGTCTGCGAATTGTTGTTTGTTGTGTTCGTTGTTTACCTTCTTTTCGTCCATCATCAATGAAGTAGTTCACCACATTTTCGTTCCACTCACTTCGATTTCGTTTCATTCCCGTCTTCGTCTCTCCTTTCGAGTCCATCATATCGGCCGGCCGAATCCATACAACCCCACAAAAAGCCTCACAATGAGAGCCACAGCTCCCACTCTCCGCCGGCGGACCTTTGCCCGAGCGGAAGCCACCCGTGCCTGGGTCGAAGCAACAAAGAGACAAGCCCTCGACACCAGTGATGACTCCTTGAGCGATGATGCCAACAGCCTCAACTCACTGAGTGACGACAACTCCCTCAGCGACGACAACAGTCTCGACTCACTCTCAGACTCCGATGCTGGTCGTCAACAACCACCACCCCAAACCACCAACCCCCCTCAGCTCAACGGCGCCGCAAAGACTCATCAAAGTCTGACAGCTGGTTCCCATGCCCGAGTTACTCGTCGCTCTATCGAAGCCAGACAGAATCTCCTCGACCCTAACACCTCCGACGACAACAACTCCCTCAGCGACGGCAACTCTCTCTCCAACTCCCTTGACAGCTTGAGCGCTGACTCCTCAGCTGATGAAGCCCGTCCTTTGCCTACGTCCACCACAAAACGGCCCAACCTCAGCTCCAAGACCCGTGCTCGTCTGGCGGCCAAGCACCGTCGTGCTCTTGACGCTCGTCAGGCACTGGACAGTGACTCGGCCGATAGCATCAGCGTTAATGACTCACTCGACAGCGGCGGCGAGTCTTCAGCCGATGAGGCCAGACCTTTGAAGCGTTCTACTCGCACACAGAAGACTCGTGCTCGTCGTGCTATTGCCGCTCGTCAGGCGGTTGATACTTCCGATGATAACAGCGTGGACAGCGGTCTATCTGACAATAGTCTCGATAGTCTCAACAGTCCCAGCGACGGCAACTCCTCCGCCAACGAAGCTCGTCCCAGTCCTCGTCCAACTTTGGCTCCCACCAACCCTCCTACTCTTACGCAAAAGTTCCGCAACCGTTTGACTACCGGCCAGCATGCCCAGCGTGCTACTCGTCGCTCTCTCGGTCTCGAGGCTAGACAGAACCTTCTCGATCCCAATACTTCTGACGATAACTCTGTTGACTCGCTTTCTGATAACTCTCTGTCGGATGACAACTCCCTCGATTCGCTGGATTCCAACTCCATTGACTCAGCCTCCGACTCCGACGCCGCCAGACCTCCGCAGCCTACCAACCCGCCTAACCTCACTTCCAAGGGTCCCAAGCGCCTCGGCGATGGTGCCAGCTCTCGCCCCGCCCGCATCAGCGCCCGCCGTATCAGCAAGCGTGAAATCCTCGGTAAACACAGTGGCCTAGTCGCATCAGCAGAAGCAGCCGCCGGAGCAGAAGTTCCCACCATCGCCCCTCCGGATCTGGTCAATGCCCCCGCTGCCGGCGAGACTACACTGCCAGTGCCCGAAGAGGAGGAAGAAGAAGAGGATGATGCAGAATCTGTCTCCAGCGTAAGCAGTGACTCTGGTTCTGAAGAGGAGGAAGAAGAAGGGGAGGGCGAAGAAGAGGAGACCGGTACCGGAACTGCAGAGCCAACAGCCACTGCTACTGGTGGCGCGGCTGCTACTACTGTTGATGGTGGTTCTTCCGCAACGATCACCTCCGGACCTGCTGCCACTGGCACTTCAGGTTCAGAGCCGACGGATGCGTTGGCGCCTGTTGAGTCCGCCTCTGATGATGCTACTGCGCTGCCGAACTTGACGCTTGCTCCTGGTTCTGAGGCAACGGCTAGCCCGAGTAATGTAATCGGTGCTATCGATGGTCAGCCGCAGGCTGATACGCAGGGGCAGACTCAGCAGACATTGGTGCCGGTGCCGGTGCCGAAGAAGATGAGTGGGGGGGCTACTGCTGGAATTGTTCTTGGTGTTTTGGGTATGTCGTTCTTTGCTGTTCCCGTTGTCTTTGCCATTTCCCTTGGCATTCCGCCCGACCTTCGCCATCCCCTCCCCCTTTCCCTTCTTCTTTTCACTCCCCGTTTCACTTTCTCTTTCCCTGCCATATCCCTTCCCCTCCCACAATCCCTCGCATCAACCACTCCATTGAAGACGTCCAGTACTAACATTCACCTAAGGCTTCATCGCCCTCCTAGCCGGCTTAGCCTTCCTCTTCATGCGCTGGCGTCGTCGTCGCCAGACCTCCACCTACGGCACCCGTCTCGCCGACGAAAAGGGTGGCGACATGCCAGGTGGTAACGTCCCGCCCATCACTTTCACCCACCCCGCTTGGCCCAACAACAACAACCCCTCCGCCAATGTCAACGCCGCTGCCGCAGCCGCTGCTAGAGATTCCAAAACCAACAGCGAGATGATAAACGACATGGTGCGCGCCGCTTACGCTTCCAACAACGGCGTTCCTGTCAATAACATGCAAGGTCAGCACGCAGACCATTACATCGACGAAAAAGCCTACGCCATGCTCGCCGGCCACCCACCCACCCCTTCCGTGGCAGGTACCGAGAAGCGCGGTGTCTCCAAGTGGCTTGCAGACGTGATGACTCCCACTGCTGCTGATAGACAGTCTTCCGTCTCTCAGCGTTGGCCGTATCCTGTTGACCCTCCTATGCCTATGCCGACGGCGCAGGGGCCATTGCCGGTTGGTATGCCTGGTTATGGACCTGGTAACAATGGGACGACGACTAAGCAGAAAAGGTTGACGCCGCCTAGATTGCCGTTGAAACCGGTGGTGCCGGCTGGTTTGAGGCCTGGAGCTGCTGCTGTTGGTAATGGACCTGTGGGCGGTACCGGGCTGCCGCCGGGGAGTGGAGTTAATCCGAATGCTAATGCTAGGATGACGGTGGCTACGCAGACTACTAATACTACTAGCTCTAGTGCTAGGTGGGGTTAAGTGTCTGGGTAGTGGTTGATGTATGGGGGGTAGTTGTGTTGAGGTGTTGATGGGGTGAGAGTTGAGTCTTGGCTGGGAGAGTAAGGTATGTGGAATTATGAAAACGATTTGCATGAGTTGTAAAGAGATGGGATCTGGTGTACGATGATAGGAGTACTGTAGATGTAGCTGGCAGTTTAATAGACCGTTTATCGGCAAGATGTGGTACTATCGCTTTCGTTTCATCGTGGCTGATCGTTGTTGTCGTGCTGATGAATTGGTTATCGGCACGAGTATTTTGAGGTAGCCGTTCTTTTCCTAACAAAAGGGGAATCGAGCTGGAGCGTACTAGCCAAGTCCAATCTTCCTCAAGTTGAGACGAGTTGGGGATGAAGGGAAGTCGTTAAGTTTGAGTGCCTCAGGCTGCCGTGGTTGATCGGTGACGGTAATGCCGTGATGGGGAAGAGTGACTGAGTGTTGGCCGATGCGGAACTTCCCGTCTCTTCTTTCTCCATGGCAATGCCGAATGGAAAGGGTGTCTGGTTTTGATCCATCGAGCAATCCTAGAGTGGCGCCCACCAAAAGGGGGGGGGGGGATAAAGTCGAGTGTCCATACCGGTGTTGATTACTCGTGATGTGCTGCTGGGTTATGTGAGACAGTGGCACTAGACATATGACCATGCGGAGTCCGGTCTGTTGTCAGCGATGTTGAAATGATGAATCGGCTCACGGCACGCTGGCTTCCATAATCCAGCTTTAAAATGCTAGCGATGATCGTCGAGCCAAATGGATCAGGGACTTTAAGAATTCATCAAATCACCCTCAGGATGAGACAAACAGGAGGTGAAATCATATTGTCGAGTGTCTCGGGAGACCATCATGGGATCTGTGTATTGCCCTGAATCCCGTCAATCCTTTGTGCCCCTGTGGTGAGCCCGTTAGCGGCCCGTGATGCCCTGCCCTAGGCTTGTTAGTGTTGTTAGTGCAGTGGGCTGTTAGTCCAGTGGTATTAGCCTGGTAAACATGTGAGGATTGACTCGCCAGCAAGTGAGCGAACATGACGTACTTACAATTAATCGAGGAATTATTCTCATTGCAGCCTGTCAACTTTGCTTTTGCTGTAGCGCTCCCTCGAGGCGAGAATCGCTTGCTGTGGTTGTTGGTGTCGCCAAGTCATTGCGATCATCTTATCTTGACCCCCTGGTGATTGAGATCGGCCATTTTTAGAAGTGCGCTTTCATGACAAGTGCCGTTTGGACGGGATGCCGCTGGCGCCGATGCAGATTGTTACCACTGGGCTGGTACGCCTCCCTAATGTCGTTTGAAGTCGTTTTCCCTTTAAAGTTGTGTCATCGTCCATCTTCCGAACGAGTTTGGTCTTGTCTGTTTCAGTCAGTCAGCAACGGTGGTGTTGAGCAGAAAATCCAACTGCAGTCCTTCTTTCAGAGTTCAGACCAGCGAGCAACAATCCAACCCCAGTCACTCTTTCGAAAATAACAGCCAACTGCCGTCATTCTTTGGACAAACATACAGACAGACAGCAACCATCAAGATGTCCCTCCTAACAAAAGCCGCCCTCCTCCTCGCCGTCGCCGGCTCCGCCCTCGCCGCGCCGACCAACCCCGGCGGTTTCAAAACCCATGTCTCTGCCACTCCCGTCAGCAACCACGTCCCCGGCCACGGCACCCATTTCCAGCTTCCCGAGCATCTCAAGGCCCGCAACTCTGTCGACTCAAACTCCGTCAACTCCATCCCCGGCGGCGAAGTCCCTGGCCACAGCACTAAGGCCCCGGAGCCTCAGACGCTGTATACTAACCATACTTATGTGCCTGTTGAGGCTTACAACAATACCAACACCAACACTGTCTCCAAGCGAAATGCGGCCGAAGCGAAAAAGCATATCCCAATGCTCCACCGCTCTTCCACCCCCTACATCGACCAAGCAACAGGCATTACCTTCCAACGTTTCCACGACGCTACTTCCCAATTCTCCTTTGCGCTTGCTTTATCCAGCTTACCTTCCGCTTCTGCCACTGGTTCCACCGATCCCACCGATTCCCTCCTCGGCTCTTCCTCTTCCGCTGAAGAAGAAGTCCAAAACGACGCAACAGATTTCATCGCCCAACTCTCCTTCCCGCTCAACTCCACCACCGGTTTGGGCAGAGGAGCAGGCTGGGGAGGAATTTCCATTTCTTCCAAGCTAACCGCCTCTCACCTCCCTCTCTTTCTTGGTATCCAAACCGACGGTTTCGGCAATCTCGCCTTTTCTTCTTTCACCGAGACCGTCGCTTCTACTGGTGACGCCGCCTCAACCACCGCCGGTCAGCAGGCCACCTCCACCGGCAAAGATCTCGCCTTCAAGATCCGCACCATCGAATCCGCAACCAGCATCAACTCCACTTTCTTGACCTACACTTTCCTCTGCGAAGGGTGCCTGTCAATTAGTAAATGTGCCGCCAACCTTCAGGAATGGAAATCTCAAGGCAAGACAAAGGTGTTGAGACTGGGTTGGGCAACAGGCGATACGATCGCTTCTGGCGCTGAGACCGACTCGCCTGACACTCCCGACACCCCCGACTCTCCTGACACTGCGGCCCCAAATGCTGAGCAAGAGGAAGAGCCCGAGACTGCCAACCAGAAAAAGTTTGCGTACCACAGACTCGGGTTCGGACACATGAAGATTGATCTTGAGGGCGCGTTGCATACTGCTGAGGAGTTTAGTGCGTGGAAGGGGTTGGCTATGACGGAGGAGGTGCGGGGGTTTGAGGGGGTGGCGCCGCCGTTTGCGCTGGATTTGGTTAATGGGGAGAGTAACTCTGAGGGGGCTTCCAACCTAGAGAAGACCAAGGGAGGGGATGCTGAAAAGGAGGAGGAGGGTGTTGAGGAGGTGGAGAGTGAGAGTGCTTCGGATTCTGACAGCGATAGCGATAGCGACTGCGGATGTGAGTCGGATAGCGACAGTGATTCTGACTCGGATAGCGAGGATGAGGAGTAAGATCGGCAGTGGTTGTTGGCGATTGTTGGTGGAGGTAATGTCGGGGATGAGAAAAAGAGGGGATGTTATACCCAGTTCGTAGTGGTCGGGATTCAGTTCTAAGAAGTAATGTTAATCGTTCAACTAAAAGTGTTGATACCTCTTGTTGGCCATTGCCGCGCCATGACCCGTGAACACTTTGTACCAGACGTCGACCAATAAATATCGCCAAAGGTGTCATGGGCCCGAATGTATCGTTAGTATCGCAAACCCCATTATCCGGACGACATGCACCTGAAACACCACGAGAGAAACCTCGGGCTGCCATAACACTCATTCATATTTCCAACTAACAATACCCAATGCTTCCAAGCCCCCAAACTCCTACGCCATGCTAACCAGACCCATAACGATACCTCTACTCGATATCCCATTACCCAGCAATATACAGACTGCCCATCCTCTCCTCAACACCTCTAACTCCCTCTTTAGCCCTCTCAATCTCAGCCTCCAGCTCTTCCACATTCCTATTCAACGCACTAACCTCCTCAAACCTCCTCTGCGCTCTCGCGCTCTTCAACATCTCTTGCACCATAAACATTTGTTCCTCCAATACCACCAATCTCTCCTTGGCCTCTTTCTCTTCAATGTCCAGTTCTGACTGAATGACGCTGGCTTCGCTTACCCCAGCATTGCTTGATGTTTCTGCGTCTTGGGAGAAGGCGGACTCCCCGTTTCGTAAGGGCGAAAGAGCGGATGTTGACCCATTAAGTAATCGGCGATGTTGATGTTGCATGCTATTACTCCTCAGAACCCTCGGCACCGATTTCAGAGGGATGAGGTTGGCGTGTAAGAAAGATGATGCTGCTGCATACACTGACTGCTGCAATTTTATCTGCGTCGGGCTATCGGTTTTCATATTCCTTAGTCTCTTGGCTGCAAGATCGTATTTCGCAAAGGCGTCCGTCAATCTTTTTCGGATCTTGGCTGCTTCTTGAACTTGTGCAGATGTCGGCTGTGGTGGCGGTTTATCCTGTCGATAATCGTTTTCGTTCGGAGGCTGGAGAGCCAAAAGCGCTTTCTGGAAAGAGGGCATCAACATCCGGATTCCACGCTCAAACTGTCGCAAGGTCTCGTAGGCGCGTTGGTCTGGTGGTTTGTGTGCTATCGAAGCGGCGAAGTCGCGGTGGGAGAAGATGGTGGATTTGCAGTCGCGGCACATGCGGATGTCGAGCGTTGTAGTGGTTCCGGTTCTGGGTGGCTTTTCGGTGTTTATCGTTGCTAAGAGGTCTGTCAGTAAGAATCGTTGTGAAAACCCGACGGACGACTCACGATGCGCAACATCCAACCCAACCTCGGTCGAACACGCCGTCTCCGGATCAGCGCAAACCACCCGTCCACATATCCGACAATGATGTCTCCTAAACGTCCAACTCCTAAACTCCTGCTTGCAAACGGGCAATTCGTAACCGCCCCATCCTCTTCCCAGTTGACCACGCTCTGCTCAATCATCTTCCTTTGACTCTTTTGTCCCGTCAAGCCAAGTAGTCCCGGCCCATCATCCGGTGGCATCTCAGCCAACAACCTCGTCAACTTGGTCAACCTCTTTTCCAGCCTCTGCACCTCCAGTTTATGTCTATCCACCCTCTTTGCTCGTATCGCCTTGAACGCCGCCATGTGATCCCTCACGGCGCCCTGGTGATCATTATACCCCTCCCGACTCTTGTAACACGTCTCGCAAACCCGACACCATATCCCTCGCACCGGTTCGTGGTTGGCCGATCTGCTAAGTTTCATCTGGTACATGGTATGTTCCTCGCAGAACAGCCTTCCGCAGTGTCGACAATTAACCAGTCCACTAAACGGACCCAATTTCCTCGTGCATGTCGGATCCGTGCAGGGGTCATTTCCAGTCGGTTTCTGCCAGTGATGTCGTGTAACCAGTTCCTCCGGGTCTACCGCCTTTTCTGCTGTTCGTCCGGGTGCAGCAGCAGCACTAGTACTGGTACTGGCGACAGTCGCAACGACAGGTTGTGTCTCGTTCGATTCGAAAACGTCGAGCCCGCGCAGGGTTTGGTTGATGATATTCAAGGGCTGGAACTTTTTCGCTTTGCGGACTTGTTTGTCGAACCAGCTCTTGACTTCATCTTGCGTCTCTTCAGGGAGTTCTTGGTGGACGTCGTCGATGTGTCTGTTTAACTGTAACAAGGTGACCATTTCTTCTTCACAAATCGGGCATACGAGTCGTCGGTTGTCGTTGGCGCTGACGCCGGTGCCGGATGGGCCGCCGCCATTGGAGGGACCGACGGCCAAGCTGACATTGGAGACGAGGTCTTGCGGGATGTCGGGAAGAGGGACGGATGAGGACGGAGAGATGGAGTCGCGGGTTGAGTTTGGCGAGACAAAGGAGACGGTGCTGCTGTCGGAGGGCGCAAATGGACTGACGGCGCGATGGATGGCGGCATTGGTGGTTAAAGGTGAGGGTGACGGTGATGATGACGCTGGTGCGGGCGGGGCGAGGCCCTTGCCGTTGCCCAAGATGCGCCCACCTCCGAGCTTGCGCCCAGACATGTCGTTGTCGGTTGATTGTGGTGGTGTAGATGGAGAGAGAGAGGTTATGCTGCAGTCGAAAAGGTGGCCGCCATTGTTTTGTTGGTGGTCGGATGGTCGGACGAGGGAAGGGAAGTTGGTCGTGGTTCTCGTTGTTGGGTCAAGGTTGCACAGTTCGTGCTTCGTTATTGGTTCGGCAGCGGCGGTGGAGGATAGGCGCAGCTCAAGCAGTGTTACCTTAGGTTGAGCTGCAGCCTGAACCCGCTATTTTTGGGTGCTACACAAGCTATCACAATCACTAATCACTAACAATTTCGACGTTGATGGTCAAGTCGGGCATGGGAGCTTGGGATATCGGGGGTTCTGCATTCTGGGATTTTGATAAAGGCCAGGGATGATGATTCAATCGAGAGTATGTCGACCATGTATCTTGAAATGTCCCGACATCCGATATCAACAAACCCGATGTTACCAGAACGGCCCGGGGCTCGGTCACAGCGATGCCGACCTCGAGATGTCCGCTTCCTACTGCACTGTTAATTGTTAGCTCTGTACCCCCTGTCTTACCAAGCTACCACCACGACGGGAGTACCCATTCATCCTCCGATCCCGCCCTCCCCTCTCCACACCTCCCGCAATCGCCCCTCTGTAACCACAGGGGTCACCCTCCATTTTCATGTCATCAGCACAAGCACGTCAGCGACAGAATCTCCATTATCAGCCTTATTATCAGTCATACTTTGCTTTTTACTACCCAACAAATGCTGCCTTTATTTCTTTCGCAAACTCGATCCTTTTTCTCCCAATTATTTTCTTGTCGAGGGCTTACCACCGCATAACGAATTGACGAACGACTAACGATCAGCGCTGGCGCACACAAAACAAACACCATAACAGCGAGAACATCAAGAGACACAGACAGGCACAATGACGACCGGCCGAGCAGACACCAACCCAGACAACTTCCCCGAGATCCAGACGGGCGGGAGTCTGATGATCGCATGGCAGATCAAGGGCAAACGAGTACTGCTGGTGGGCGGTGGTGAGGTATGTTTTCCCTGCCCATGATATCCTCTTGTTCCCTTCCTTCTCTACCTCTACCTATGACTACGCGCCGCAATGGTCTGGTCTGCGCTCGTCAACAACTCCGTCCTCCTCCTTCTCTTCCTCCTCCTTCTCTTCCTCCTCCTCCTCTTCCTCCTCCTTCTCTTCCTCCTCCTTCTCTTCCTCCTCCTTCTCTTCCTCCTCCTCCTCCTCCCTGCTCCATCACAGCAAACTAACAGATGAAAACTCCAGGTCGCCGCCACACGCCTAGTCCACCTCCTCTCAGCCGACGCCCTCATCACCCTCATCGCTCCCTCCCCCTTACACCCCGAAGTCTCCCACCGCCTCACCCAGTTTCCCTCCTCAATAACCTGGATCCCCCGCACCTTCCAGCCCACCGACCTGACCTCCCCCTCCAACCCCAATGGCGAGCAATACTCCCTCGTCCTAACCGCCATCGACGACCCTGTCGCCTCCTCATCCATTTACAAGCTCGCCCACGAGCTCAAAATCCCCGCAAACATCGCCGACGTGCCCTCGGAATGTGACTTCTATTTCGGGTCTGTGCACCGTGACGGTCCCTTACAAATCATGGTATCGACCAACGGGAAAGGTCCGCGCTTGGCTAGTACCATTAGAAAGATGATAGCCAAGGCTTACCTAAAAATGCGGGGAGGGCGATTGAGAAGATGGGTGAGCTTAGGAAGGAGTTACGAAAAGTGGCGCCTGACCAAAAGGAGGGGAAGAGGAGGATGGAGTGGATTAAGACTGTTAGTGACGCTTATGGGTGGGAAGAGATGGGGGAGATGACGGGGGAGGATATGAGGAATTTGTTGGGGTGGTATAGGAGGAATGAGGAAGGGGAGGGGGGGTTGGTGGTTCCGACGTTGGAGGAGTTGAGGGGTATGCGGAAGGAGAATCAGCAGAAGGGAGAGGAGCAGGATAAAATGGATGTGGTGGATGAGCTTGATGAGGTGCAGAAGAAGGTGGAGGGGTTGAATGTTGATGGCAAGGAATAGTGTCAAGGGATGGGTCCGGGTTGGGTTGGGATGTTCTATCATGTTCAAAAGGGCTTTTAGGTTCTGGGTTGGGTAAAAAGGATTTCGGATAGGATAGGGATACAGGGGAATGAATGATACCATGGGTCTGGTTTGGCAACGAGTATTTGAATTCCGCATGGTGATTTCCGTTGCTCGTTGCTGTTTAAGATTTCACAAGTCCCAGGTCCTGGTTCTACCTACCTAATCAATCATGATGTTATGGGAACAAGGTTTATCAACTCTCAGCATGTCAATTCCTCCTCCTATCCGAATTGGCGTCACTGTTTTCCATTACGAGTTCTGGGTCTTGGGTTCTGGGTAAGGTAAAAATGATCGCAGGTAGCACCTCTGGTGATAATTAGACACAAATAATACCATCGGTTCGGTTATGAACCTGTCAGCAGACGACACTTCCGGTTACTCTTTCTTTGTTCGTGTTTTCACAGATAGACCAAAGGTCATCTCTACCTCTAGCATAGGTAGATGATAAATCATGTTACCTATGAAAAGGTTAAGCAAGCAAGTATTGGCATGTCATTTCCTCCTATCCATGTTGGCATCCTTTCTTTCCACCAGGGGCACGAATTTCACAAAGCACCAGTCTAGTAGTCTACGTTCTGGGTAGAGAGAGGTAACAATAAAAAAAGGACGGAAATTTGAGGCCAAGGATACCTTCCAGCAGAGGGAAATGATACCATGAATTAATTATACTACAGGATCACATCCTGAATAACTCTACGGTTGCTCTTCAATTTACGTTGAAGTAACGTGACAATGTCGCGACCATGAATCCGCTTTCATCCAACCTAAACCAAGCCTAAACCTAAACTTGAATTAAATACCCGCTCGCCTTACTTGTAGAAGTAATGGCAGCGCAGCGCAAACTGAAGGATAATGAATCGCAACGAAAAGATACACAACCAAAAGATGTACAAGAAAAAAAGATACACAACCAAAAGACACCTAGGTATACACCTAGATCCATGCCAACACCTTAACTCCGGCCAATGCAAAATGTTTAAGCAACACAACACAACACAGCACAACAGAACTGAATATCAACCTCCCGTCTTCCTCTCTCTTCCCGTCTCTTCCTGCCACACACACACACAGCCAGCCATCACCTTCACCCTTTAGGGCTTCAAGGGAAAGGACTTCCCCAGCTAATCTCCGCCGGGATTAACTCATTAACCCCACCATCAGAGGCATCAGAGGCATCAGAGACAACCCCATCAGAGACAACAACCCCGTTTCCGTTTTGTTTCTGTTTCTGTTTGTGCCCGATGTCCTTCTCGTCGTTACCCTCCTCGTTACCCTGCAGCGGCATCTCTAGGGACGGATCCACGACTGTCAAATCAAAGTCGTTGTCGGAAATAACACGCCATTGGCCTTGGCCTTGGTCTTGGTCTTGGTCTGCTGTTCCAGAGGCATGGCCGGAGAAGAGTTCCTAGTCAAATAAAGCCATGCCTTCGTTGTTGTCGAAGGTAGCGGTAACCGTTGATGTTGATGCAGCAGCGTCAATGTTGTAGCCGCCGCCGTCGTGGGCAACAACCGTTGGTGCATCACTGTTGTAGCCGTTGTTGTTGTTGTTGTTGTTGTCGTGGTGACCTTCATCCTCATCCCCAACAAGTGTCTGAGAATCCGCCCCTGAATCGTTCGCTGGATCCCAGCCGTTTGCATCCCCATTGATGCCATTCGCATCCACAAAAGCCTGAGCCTGTGCCTGTGCCTGAGGCTGATACTGAGGCTGATACTGAGCCTGAGCCTGGGCCTGACTGCGAGCCTGAGCCTGACTTGAAGCCTGACCTTCAGTCTGAGCTTGGAGTTGGTTGTGAAGCTGAGGCTGAGCCTGAGACTGAGCCTGACTTTGAGCCTGAAGCTGATGCTGACTTTGAGCATGACTTTCAGCCTGACCTCCAGTCTGAGCTTGGAGCGGGTTGTGAAGCTGAGGCTGATTCTCAGGTCGAAGCTGATGGCGAGGCTGACCCCCATTACGCCCATACACCCATTTAATCGGGCCCTGGAGTTCAATCCTTTCCTGAGGCCGAGTCGGAGCCGGAGGTTGGTAGGGAACTTGAGGTTGATACGAGGCCTGAGGTTGATACGAGGCCTGAGGTTGGTACGGGCCCTGGGGTTGATACGAAGCTTGGGGCTGATACGGATTCTGAAATTGGTACGGGGCCTGAAGTTGAGCTTGAGCTTGAGCTTGAGCTTGTGCCGCTTTGCGGGCTTGAGTCTGAGACACTTGCAGAGCCTGATGCATGGTAAGACTCTGAGTCTGGCGTTGATACTGAGCAGGAACTTGAGGTTGATGCTGAGCCTGACCGGGATGTTGATGGTGAGGAGTCTGAGCCGAAGCTGCTGCTCCTCGGACCTGGTTGAAAGTCTGGTGAAATGCAGCCTTAGCCAGAGCCACATTCTCAGTCTGAGTCAGCGTTCTTCGGGCTTGGTTGTAAGCCTCATATCGAGGCTGACCGCGAGCCGGGTTGACAGTCTGGGTGAAACCCAAGCCCGGGTTGATTTGCCGAGCGACAACCTGAGCGGAACGCAGAACCGACTGCCCGGCAGGATTCAGAGCCAGTTCTTCGGCCTCAGCCAACTCCTGAGCCGGGTTGGCGGCCCAAGCCAGAGCTTCTGCCTGAGCCTGAACATGGAGCTTGGTGATTTCCGTATTCGCATTCGCAGCCCATTGCGGATCGTGAGCCGGAATGTTGCCTAGAGGGTGGTTGTGCTCAGCCAGAACCTGAGCTCTAGCCCGAGCCTCTGCCGCAGCGCAAGCCTGCACCTGTTCAACAGTCCAATCCTTAGGGTAAGGGTTATGAGGAAACAAGGCACCTGCAGCTGGGAGCGAGGAGAAGGCCTGCTGCGGAGCTAGAGCCTGATGAAAGGCTTGAGTTGGGGCCTGGCCAAAGACGAAAGCTGGAGCCTGTGCCTGAGGGTTGACCCAAGGTTGCAAGCCTTGAGGACCTTGGGAGGATTGACCATTTCGTAACATGTGTCCCGGTTGCCCGTTGCCATAAGTAGTAGGCTGGTTAGGTTGCTGTCGACTGGGACCCGCGGCTGGATTCCCAGAAATCCCAAAACCCTCCATTTTAGGTCGAAGAAGCCGCTGGCCGTTCATCTGACGACGGGCGGCTTCGTTGCCTTGTAGAGGTTCTGGTTCTGGCGTGGTCAGTTTTTGCTGGTTACGGAGGGCAAGTGCCCGCATAGCAATTTCACGTCTTTGCCCTATCTCTTTGCCCACGTGCAACTCCAGGTGGTGGTGCATGAATGCAGAATGCGTGCTGTGGCCACATCCTAGGAGAGGACAATCTTCCCAGTCGACGCGCATGCCCAACTCAGCCTCTGCATATTGCGGGTGATGCCATAGCATGTGAGACCCGAAACTCCTATGGTCGACCAGCGTGATTTGCGTCATGCAGACTGGACACTCTTGCATGTTGCCGCCGGTTCCAGAACCAGAACCTCCTCGTAGGCACATACCAGCGTACTGCGCATTATCATCATCCGCATCCTCCACATCCCCGGCGAAACGTCTTGTCACTTCATGAATCCAGATTATGTCCTGCTCAACGCCAGAGTTCGCTCCCTCAAACGACGTGTCGCTGTCGAGCAAGTCGGAAGAATGTGTATATGGCCTGTTAAGATGTCGCAAGGGGTGCGTTCTTTCCCAAGAGCAGCAATCTGGACTCGAACACGTGCTCGATTCCGGAGACCTGCCCTGATCAGAGTGCGAATGAATGTCCTCTTCAGAGTTATCTTCCCAGCCACCACCACCCCGGATGGATATGTCCGCAGCATCCTGCATGTCTAAACCATCCGAGACGGCCCCTTTTGAAGCTCCAATATCGTCGGCTTGCTCAACCACCTCGCAGCTCTTCGCGATTCCCAGTGTAGAATTGGTCATTTTGTGTTTCCCCCGCATATGTCGAGTGAGGTTGGCTAGGATCCCTGTGTAGCTGCAATCAGGAACGGTGCATTTTCGCGTCCCCAAGTGCTGGTCTTTATGTGCTCGAGAAAATGTCTTCTGTGATCCCACCCAGTTGCAACCTTCAAAAGGGCACTTTATTTTTTCTGTGTGAGTATATTGCCGATGATTACAAAGCGATTCAATGCTGGCTAGCACGGATTTGCAACCAGTTTCGGTGCACTCGCGGTACTTGTGCGCATCGACTAGATGGCGATTCATGCCATCTTTTTGTCCTGCAAACCAACAATTTTCAACCTTACACAGTGTTTTTTCCCTGTGAGCATATTTCAAATGCTGTTTAATCGACTCTTTGTTGGACCCGACGAATTGATTTCCGCAGTCAGCTTCGGGGCACTCGAGTAGGTGCTCGTGCACATCTTTTAGATGGCGTCTCACGTGAGCCCCTGATCCCGTAAACGTGCATCGGCTGCCCCGACATTTCACTTTTGCCGAGTGATGATGTGTCAAATGATCCAAGATCGCCGTTTTGTTGGATGCCGCGAATTCGCAAGCAGTCTCGGGGCAACCGAGGAACTTATGCACATCTTTCAGATGGATATACACGTCATGCTTGGATGCTTTGAAGAAGCATTCTTCAAAAAAACGACAATACCAGTTGCCGTCCACTGGTTCAAAGTTAGCACAAGGTTGAAATGCCTAGTTATCAACGGCAGTCATGCTTACCGCGTGCCACATCATCAACGTGATCCTCCTTCGCTTTAGATTTCCTCCAAGTTGCGCTGCTTCCTTGCTGCGGAGATGTTTGCGAAGGATCCCCATCCGACTCATCATCGTCATCACTTGAGTCCTCCTCGGGATAATCCTCACCTTCCTGTTCATCGTCATCATCATCATCATCGCCAGCACCCCACTGTCCTGCGCCTCCCCTCAGCGACACCAAATGGTATGAATCCTCCCCTTCACACTTCCAGTCTCCGTAGTAGCCCTGGCGCTTCTAATGCACGACGCCCTCCACGCCACCCAAGAATCTTCTGACCCTCGCAATCTCCAACTCGGGCTTTTCACTCTCAACCGCCCTCATCAGCGTATCCAGTAGGGCCTCAACTTCGATCTCGGGCCTTCTGGTGCAAAGGCTTACCAGTCGCCGGTACTTGAGCTCCTTCTCCTTGCTTTGCGCCTGCAACGTTGCCACAGCCTGTCGCGTTTTGCTCGACCTCGCCCGTAGAGCCTTGATTCTTGCCTTTAGGACAGCCGCACTCGGTAGACTAGGTCGGCTGGCCGGGTCCAATCCTTTGGGTGACTGTGTCTTGACGATCTCCAACGCCGACTCGAGTTCCATCTCCCAGGCATTGGCGGAAGCGACGTCCAGCCGGCCGTGCCGCTGCTCGAGTTCGATGAGGATCTGCTCTTCTTCTTCGGATGCCCGGTTGAAGTTGATAATCTTTTGCTTGGCGAGTTGCTGGGCTTTGAGCTTCTCCTGTAGGGACTCGAGGGTGCGGCGGGCGTCGCCGACTTGCGAGGAAGTGATGCGGAGTTGGGAGTGGAGGGTGTCGATCGACTCTTGTTTCTTCTTAAGCTCGTTTTGAAAGATGGAAGTGGATTCGCCAATGAGGTGAGTGATGGCTGGGTTTGTGTTAGCAACGGCATGAATGATAGGTAAAACAAAGTACAACTTACAGTTGACGAGCTCATCACTGGTTTCGCGACTCTTATGCCCACTGCCAGCTGTGGCGGGGTTTTTCTCTCCGGTTTGATCACCGTTGGTTTCGGCGTCGGCAATACCAATTCCAAAATCGAGCGGCTTCAAATTGGCTCGGTTGGGAATTGTGGGATCTGCGCCCACTTCGAGGAGCTGGGAAATGATGCTCCGGTTCCCGACGCGGGCAGCAACGTTGAGCGCCGTATCGCCACTGTTATCCTGAGCGTTGACGATCTCGCTCATAAACCGGCCAATACCCATTCGGCGTCCTTTCTTGTCACCGACACCGTTCTCCTGGCTATTTGGAGCACTGCCTTGTCGGACGACCCATTCCAGAAGGCTCTCGAGGTAGTATCGACTGGCATAATGGCGGCCCTTGACCGCACTGGTGACGGCAATGTGATGCAGAACGGTGCGGCCCTTGTCGTCTGTCACGTCAAGAGTGCAACCAAGGAGATCGAGAAGCTCAGGGAAAGTGTTGTTCTCCATAGAGTTGGTGACGGTGCAGGCACGCATAAGGGCAGTCTCTCCACAGGCATTTACACGCCGCGGGTTTGCTCCTGCGTTGATGAGTGCTCGCAAAAGCGGCATCCGGGAAAGGGTAGCAGCCCAATGAAGGGCCGTGTGACTCTGGGTGTCGATGGGGGTGTCCAGCTCCTGTGGAGGCACATTGCAAAGTACAGCCTGTATCGCCTCGTCAGGGCCATTGACATCCATGAAGAGACCCATCAGCATGTTCCGCTTGGCATCCGCATCGGCGCTGTTGTCATAGGGCAACGGCCGCAATGGACCACGGGCATACGAGGCCTCGCCATCATTGACAGTAGCCTGTTCGTAGACGAAGGAATTGTTGGGCTCGGTAGGAGAGCCTGTGTCTCCGTTACCAACGTTTCCAGCATTATGGGAATCGAGAGGCTGGTAAGCCGGAGTTTGGCCGCTAAAACTTGCAGCGGGAGTGAGAACCCTTTGCCGCTTCCTAGGGGGTTGTTCGAGGCCGTCACCAGTTAGGGGTTGGGTATTTTGAGACCCGAAGCCCGAGTCGCCGTTCTGTGTCTGTGTTGCGTATTCGGTCGAAACAAGGCTTTGTTGGGAGTTGGGGAAATCAGCCACGTCCTGCATCGAGGACTGGCGGTTGAAGCTGGGAGCCCGACTCGGACCGCTGCGGTTTCGAGGCGCAGGGGAATCAAAGCGAGCCTTGCTGATGGCAGCCACTGCGGTTGATGCCGTGGAGGAGATGTTCTTGAAGAAGGTGCCGGTGGCGCCAATACCGCGATTCTCTTGCGAGCTGGCGTTGTACATGCGCTTCCTCTGTGCGGCCATGGCCTGTTCCTTGGTGGGGGTGTCGACGTTTCCTGTCTCGCCTTCCTGTCCCCTGTTGTGTGTCAGGAGTTTGGACAGCAGCTCCTCAACGCCGTATTGGCGGCAGACTTCGAGGCCTCGCTCGAATGGGATCCATGTTCCCTGGTATTTGCCATAACCGCCCTGGACCTTTTCATGTTCACCGATTTGGATTTCCTTTTCGAGGATCTTGGTACGTCGGCCCTTGTCAATATTTGCGACCTTGAGGATCTGTGTGGCATTGACCCAGCCGTCTTTTTGTCGGCGCATGACGGCGACATTGTTGACCTCCATTTCGTAGACGCCGACTCCTGAGTATGTGGCCTGCAGCTGTCAGAAGGCGAACGATGGACAGTTTGGATAAACGAGGGAGAGGACTCACAGAGTAGATGGTAGGTACGGCATGATCATTGTGTAGCCGATTGGGCGGATCGGTGTACTGTCTGTAGACAGACTGTGAGGATTGACTCATGGAGAAGGATTGTTGGGAAGATGGCTGCGACTGCTGCGAGGCGCCGCCCAGCTGTGATGGCGGCATCTTGACTGATGGTAGTCTGAGGGTGTAGCGGTGGCCGTCGTCGGTGATATTCGGTGAGGGAAAAGAATGAATGTATCACTGATTAACAAGTGGTATTTGCTAGAGCTGTTTGGTTGCGTCGGTGTGGTGTGTGGTAGAGTGGTACGAGTTGGGCGGTCCAGAAGTAGTTGGGGGAGCACAACGTCTTTAAGAGGCGGGCATGGAGGACTGGATGAAAAGGCGAGCGGGCAGTCGGAGACACAGCAAACAGAGTTCGTTGGGATGCCGTCTGTCGGTGAGTAGCAAGACTCAGATGGTGACTGCTGTGTTTGTGGTGGGAACGGGACCGAAACTGCGGTCGCAGAGTCCCTAACGAGTCGATCACAGGAAGTTGAAGCTGCCGGCGAGTACAGCGGAAGGGTTGGCGACTAAGGTGCGATCGAGTGATTTGGACGGTTCGGCAGGAGGAGATGGGGATGTTGTCGACAATTGGTATGAACTGTGAATAGTGAATCCTTAGGAACACTGCGTCGCAAAGAGGTAGGCGATTGTCGCAATGACGTTTCTTTGATGGCGAAATCAATTAAACGTCGACGTGTTGGTTTCGTGTGGTTGCGCGAAAAGTCGTGTCTGTGGGGATGAGAGATTGCCTGTGCGGTGGCCGATACATGAAAGACACAATGCCTGGTCACGGGCTGATTATTACGTGTTAATACGAGTGGTGTAACAAACATGAGCATATGGCAAGTCAAAGACCTAAGAGTAATTACCTCAGGAGTTGGATGATTGCAGGAACCCGGAATAACGCTGAGTAGTTACCATTATTTGGCATGTCATGGCCTTTTTTAACCAAGATTTCATGATTATGGTGTTCTTCGTTGACGACGCATTGCTTGTCATGTTGGATATGAACCATCAGCAAGCCTGCTCCCTAGAGTATAAATGGTGTAAGATACACTTCTCCCCTTGTAAAGTACACCCACTCTAACTGAAATTGTTAAGTGACCGCAGTTCAACCGTCGTCATTGTGTCCCGCATAGATAAGGATTTACGAGTTTCTTATCGGAGCTTCAATTGTCAATGCCATTTCCCCTTGACTTTCACAAGGCATCGACAACTTCCATTTTCCAAACAATTTTACACCACGGCCCAGCTTCTAATTTTCCGGTTATCTCCTCTCTCGACATCTGGATCCCACTTCCCTCAACCACAAACCATACCTCACGCCCACAACCGCACAATGTCCCGCCCGCCACCCCTCCCACATCCAACAACAACCCTCCACCTCTACCGGCATCTCCTCCGCGAATCCTCCTACCTCCCGGTCCTCATCCGGCCCTTCTTCGACGAGCGCATCACTACCCGTTTCCGCTCCCACCGGTGCGACCCCGGGCCCTCTTCCTGTCCACAAACCGCCTCCCGTCTCAAGCGCGCCCATCACGACCTGCGCTACCTCCGCGCCGCCAACGCCGGCGACCTCCCACGCATGCGCCGCATTTTACTTCTCGCATTCGGCCGCACGGGCGCAAAACGTCGACAGTTACTCACCGACCTGCTCCAACCAGATACACCAACCAGCGACCTCGAGCTACAAAAATACATCGCCAAGGCGCGCGCCATCGCCAAAGAAGGTCGGAAACCCGACTGGCTGGATAACTGGGACACGGAAAAACTCAAGGCGTTTGTGCGCTCGCAAGTGGGCGACGCGCCGCCGGTGATTAATCAGCCCCGGACGCAGATTACCAATTTACAACTGACGCCAGAACGCGCGGTGCCGAAAGAGAATATCTGGGGCGGGGAGCTAAACATCAAGGTTCGGAGGACGAAGCTGAAGAATAAGTATAAGCAGGTTGCGGAGAAAGTGCTCCCGCCTGTGCCGAGGGAGGAGTGGGAGCTTCTGAGGGATTTGGTGAACAAAAAAGAGGAGTGGGAGGTCCCTGCACGACGAAGTGTGGGGGTGTCTGTTTGGGGGAAGGAGAAGGAAGCAGAAGAAGAGAAGGCAATGGATTGGGATTGGAAGAGATATGCCACGCAAGCGATCTGGAAGGTGGATAGGCAGAAGAGTAGGAAGAATATGTTATTGAGTGGACAGACGGAGGAGGATCTGCCGATGGGGGAGCAAAGGGCTATTGATTGTCATCGGTATACCCCCAGGCTGTGGAGGAGGACGTTGGAGCAGATTTGGAGGATGACAGCGGTTATGGAGAGGAAAAAGGATGGGAAGGGGTGGGAGATTGAATGGGGCATGAAGAAGTATGAGCCGCCCGTTGTGCCGGCGGCGGATTCAGAGTTCTTCGAGGGCGCGCCGGTGAGGGTGGACCCGCGGAAGAAGGGGAAGAAGGGAAAGGCCGAAAAGCAGTGATCGCGGTCAGTGGTCCGTTGTTGAAACGGAATATGAATGGGCGGATGGATGGATTGGGAAAAAACGCAGCTCAACTAGTAGGAAATGATACCCGAGCATATTCACGGTCATAAGCACCACAACATAAACATAAACCAAAAAAAAACCTCGTACGTGTCACGCTTGTCACGCTTGTCACGCTTGTCACGTCCATCAAAATTCCAGTGGGCTTTGTTCTACTTATCGTTTGATTCAAACGGTCTAATTATACCGTTCGTTATTATTCTTTTCAGAAGAAAAATCGTGGCTCGCAGTATTGGGTATAGTAGGATCATGTACCTCTTTCACCACCTCACATTCCTTTCCTTTCTACTTTCTCCCTTCTCCCACAGCATAACTCCAGTCACAATCCCCTACACTACACTACGCAGCCGCCCCAACCTCAACAATCCTCCCCTCCACCCTCGGCGCCACCGCTTTGGTCCACGGGACATCAAACTCGCCCTCATCCAAACAATCACAAGCCTGACTCTTCACGCCCGCCAGTCTGCACCACTTCCTCGCCACTCTCCGCATAATCCTCAGCTCGCGATCGATCTGTCTTACATCCTCCGCTTTGCCTCTGACTCTTGAACTAGGTCGACTATTTCCGCTTTCGCTGTCGCTGGACCCCGAAGCGCTGGTGTCGCCTACGGATGTTTGAGATTCTTTGAGGGGCTTGACTGTTGAGCGACGTTCGCGGAGTTTGGCGGGTGTCCAGAATGTCCAGTTGCTAAGTGGCTTGGAAGTTCCCTTGCCGGATTGGCCGGGGGGTGTGGGTTCGATTGCTTCGTCTTGTTTGGCTTCTGCGTCTGTGATGGTGGTGGTCTCGTTGTCATTGTCGATGACGCAGGTATCTTTGTCGCACCCGTCTCCCGTCTTAGGTTCTAGTGTTGATGTCAAGCTCTTAGGCCCCTTGGCAGGTTCACGTCCTTCGTCTACGCCCTTGACGACGGTTCCCCAGTGTTTATCCTCGTCTGCACCCCAAAAGGCCCATTTATCTAGCGCTTTAAGGGCCATGAAATATTGTCTCAGCAACATGGAGATCAAGATGCCGTTTTCTTCGGAAACGACCTCCTCGCATTCGCCACCTTCAGATTTGATGAGCAGGGAAGTATACCCGTCCTTGCCACGGGCCATGTATCCCCTCGTCGACATAACATAGACCTTATCAAGATCAATCGGCCCATCACCAACTTGCACATCCGTCACCCTGCTTCCAGGCGGCAACGACGGATCAAACGTAAACTTGATATTCGAAACCTGCGGAAACCTGCCTTCCAGAGCCGGGTACAAAGAAACGCCGTTCTCGAGCGCTTCCCAAACTGCTTTCCCCTTAACCTTGATCACCACGACGGGGTCCTCAAACGGGAAACAATCCGTTACGTCCTTAACTCGTATCGGACCAGGCGGGTATATCTGATCGCCGCGGATCGTGCCAGCGGCCATTATTGCTATGTCGGCGTGGTAGTGCAAGCGCATGATGTCGCAGACAAAGTTGCCGATGTTACTTTCGCGAAGGCGGACTGTAGTGAAACGTGCGTCGAGCGGGAGGCGGTGAAGCCGATGGGTTTCTCCAAGGACTTTTTCAGCTTGGAGGTGAGTTTCTCTACTAACGTGTCGGTTGCGGCGTCGCGCGGGATACTGCTGTAGATGTCTCTTCTCCAAATATCGACGTCCCATTTTGGTTGATCGGGCGCTGGTGGCGAAGCAGGTCGGCGAACTTCGAGATAAGAAAGGTTCTTGAAATCGGACCCTGATCGCAAGACATGCGTCCCGTTTATAAGGCTATGCGCATAGAAGTGGTCGTGGCCGCCCAGGATGATGTCAATCTCCCCTGGCGCCATCTGCCTCGCTAGCTTGTGATCGTTCGGTTCGCGCATGTGTGTTAGGGCGACGATGAGATCAGCTCCTTGGGCGCGGAGTTGGGGGACGAGTTCTTTGGCTACTTCGGTCGCGGAGCGGTAGATGAGGTTTGGTGGCAAGGCGTTGATAGTTTCTAGCCATTCGCGCTCTCCTAGACCCAAAAGGCCGATCTTGAGCCCGTTGGCAGTCGTGATCATGTGGGTGTGGCCGGCGTTGCCGATGGGCACGTTTTCGCCCAGGGCTGGGTCGAGGACGTTGGCGAGAAGCCAGGGGAAGGCGCATTTGGAGGTTAGGTGGCGGAATTGTTGGACGCCGAAATCGAGATCGTGGTTCTGTGTCACAATATCATGTCAGCTCTTGCGGTTCGAAGGGATAGGAAAGAAGGGAAAACGTACACCAACGCAAGCGCACTGAGTTCCAATCTTGTTCAGAATAGGAACCATGTGGCTTCCTTTCGTCACCGAACTCTCCAGACTCGGATTGAACACATCTCCCGAAAACAGCGTCACCAGCTCCGGCTTGCCTTGCCCTTGGTACCGCTCATCGTTGCGATACTCGTTGACGGCGGTCATGAAGCGTGAGATGCCACCGACGGGTTCGGCTGAGGATGCGTCGAGGTGGTAGACGTCATTGAAGTGGAGCAGTCGGAAGTCGGGTGGGGCCACTGTTGTTGACTCTGCTCCTGCTGACTCTAGACGGTCAGAGGAATAGGTCACTGTTGGTTCGGCTGAGATTGGTACAGGTGCGTGAGATCCCATCGTGTGTCGATTATGATTATGGTGAGATTATCGTGTGGGTAAAAAGTGAAAAGTGGGAAGAAGATGGTGTTTGGTGGAAGTTGGTCAGCGGTGGTTGTTTATGGATGTTCTTTGTTGTTTGTTGTTTGGTTTGTTGTCAGATGACGATGACAAGACAAAAGGCCAAGCAAAAATCCAGGAACAAGAAGAGAAACAAATCAGGGGATCTATCAGGTTCAACTTGGCGGGGAATAGTCCCCGTCATATATACTTCTACCGGTTACCACCTACGTATTGCCCTCAACCAGATATGTTACTAACGTATGCCTGTAAGCAAGATACAACAAGGCGGTGGGCAGTGCGGTGAACGAGGAATAACGAATGTGATGGAACCATTCTTCTGGTTGGCCCTGTTATCTTTCTCTCGTTTATCTATTATCGACAAATGGCGGAGGATCTCAGCCAAGGTGCGGCCCAAATACCAAGACATTCAAGAACTCCGCCTCCTTTGTTCCCGTCCAGCCCGTTGTACAACGCCGCCGTGATTCCGATCAGACTGCAACACTTTGGGAGTCACTGTTTGCCAACGGGTACCAACGGGGGGAAACATGCCGTCTCTTTGACGGTCCTGATAGAGGGAAGGTCCCTGATGATCTTTGCCATCGATGACTAACCAAGCTATGTACGACAACAAACGAAGTGATAACAAATCCAAACTTGTCCACGCTGCCGCCCAAGTGGAAGCTGGGCTGTAATGTCGTACGTCGTGAGCTTGGGATCGTGGACGGTCTCAATTGGGTGACCCATCTTAAGTTCCATCCCCGATACGAGTCTCAGCTAAAACACTTACAACGTGGTGATGTTGATAGGGGAATAGGGGCGGGAGATACCGTGGGCTGAGCTGTGAGCTGAGTCTAGGTAGTGGAGATCCGTTGTCATGAGAGATAGCATCCTTGGACAACATCATCTTGGGCTTCTCTACGTGTATCCCAAACTCCATTGATCTCATATTGGTCACAAGACTAAGAACCCACACATTGTAAAACATACTTCAACAACGCCCTGAGCCAGTAGCAGGCAAACGGGAGTTGACCAACATCTCTCATCGATCACGAGGTCATCATCCTGAGGGGAATGTAAACACCAGGATCTACGAGCGGTGGTGATCATGGGGTTCTATTCTCCAGGGGCAACTTCCAGGGTTCGCCAGGGGCTTCTCTTCAGCTCCAGGGGCAGAGGGCAGTGACGCACTGACACAAGACGGGCCCGACCGAAGTGGAAGAACCCCGCCATTTCTCCAAAATCCGCCGCCCCCACCGAAACTCTCCAAAACCCGCCCGAGGTTGTCATCGCCGCCGATCGCCGCCGATCGCCGGAGGGCGTAGAGTGGAGTTCGGGGTGTCACAGCCCGGAGCGGTTCCACTTTATATCGAGTCACCACCGGCTTCCCGTCCGGGTTCCATCTTGGCTTGGCTTCTTGTCTTCTTGTCTTCCGTCATCATCCTTCCGTCCCGTCTTCCGGATCCGATCGAACATCACACTTCGGGACAACCGAACCAAACAATCACAATGACTTCCACCACTCCTGTTGTCCGCCACGCCCGGCGCGAGGGTCCGTTTCCTCTCTTCTTCCTTCCTCTCTCGCCAGTTTCCAGTTCCATCCCATGAAAATCACCCGGCACATACCTGGTGGTACTTACTAACCCTCCCCAAAATAGACGTCCCCGCCATCCTCTCCCTCATCCGCGAGCTAGCCGACTACGAGCACGCCCTGGACTGCGTCGAAGCCACCGAAGACACCCTAGCCGCAACCATCGCCTTCGCCCCTTCAGACTCTTCAGTCCTGTCCCCGGGCCCCGACGGCCTCCCCATAACCGAACCCGTCTCCCCCTCCAAGCCCGCGCGTTGCTTCGTCCTCGAGTCCCCTGCCACAAACGAAGTAGTAGGCATGGCCCTCTACTTCTACAACTACTCTACCTGGCGGGCGCGCCCCGGTATCTTCTTGGAGGATCTGTATGTCAAGCAGAGCGAGCGGAAGAAGGGGTATGGCAAGCTCTTGCTGGTGGAGCTGGCGAAGGAGGTCGAGGCTATGAAGGGCGGTAGGTTGGAGTGGAATGTGCTGAAGTGGAATGAGCCGAGCATCAAGTTTTATGAGAGCGAGGCGATTGGTGCCAAGATGATGAGTGAGTGGGTTGGTATGAGGGTTGATGGGGAGGGGTTGCCTAAGTTGGCGAAGCTTTTGGATTAAGTGGTGATCGAGAATGGAATGGAGGTAATACCCATGGTATTGGAAAGGATTGGTTCGCAGTACCTCGCTTGGCTCCGTTCGTAAACGTGCAAGTCGTGCTTCCCGACTTTACTTCAAGACTCCAGCGAAACATATCATGCAAGCGAAAAGGTTTTGCTTTGTTGACAAAGTAAATTAAAAAAAACGATCGACATAAAACATCACGCATACGCTCATCCCTTCTCTTTTAGTACCGCAACCATCACCTCCCCGGCCGAATCTCGACCCTATTCCCGAACGTGCTTCCGCCCGACAAGCTCTTATTATGCATCACCGCCCTCGCGCCGTCAAACTCGAACCCCCATTTCCCATCATGCCCCCCATGTGAAGTTTGCACATACCCCCCACCACCTCCATGTCTCTGATTCTCCACATCCCCCTCCCTCGTGGTAAAGGCATTCATCCTCTTCTCCTGCAACTCCACCTCCTCCAAGCCATCCACACTCACCATCGCGGCCCCCCTCGTCGGACTCAGCGGTTCTTCCGAGCGTTCACTCCGAAAACTCACACACTTCTTCACACCAATTTCCACCCGCGAAGTGGTAAATATCTGTCCACCACCTGACAGACCAGCACCACCCTTACTTCCACTCCAACTCTTCCCCGCCGAACTCCCCTTTTTGCTCGTCTTCCCCTTCCAAAACTTAAACAAGCTCTTAAAATACGGTACACAACCGCACATAATCCCCAAATGAATCTCCACGGCCGTCCACGCCCACAGCTGGATGCCTTCCCAGGTCGGATCCCACGTCTTCCACACCACGTAATGGATCCAGTACGTTCTGATGCAGGCCGCAAACACGACAAACAATCCCGCGCTGAACAAGACAATCAAGATAACGCGCTGGTGGATGGGGATTTGCGCCCTGTAGAACGTCGGCAGCGGGAGAACCCAGACGATAAAATCGGCGACGACGGTGAGGATGGCTTGTGTCATTAGGGGAAAGCCCTCGGGGATGCAATCGCGATCAGACAGCAGGACGTCCCAGTAGGATTCTACGGGCGTGCATTGCGTAAACAACAGGATGAAAGAGCCCGAGTTCATGGCGACGATGAAGACGATGGCGTATTTGGTTAAGCGGCGGAACAAAGAGTCTAGGGGCGCGAGGGCGAGGTAGCTGATTAAAATGGAGACTTTGGCGAGAGACGAAGAAAAGATGAAGACGGCTTGGATGGCCATGGAGATTTTGCGCCCGTCCGAGAGTTGGTTGAGCGTCAGGTCGTAGAGATGCTTGTCCCACCCGTAGGTGGTGGAGGCGAGGATGACGAGGATGGAGACTGCCGTGCCGAAGATCTGGGGCTTGTTAGTATGATGTTCGTTCTTGGTGGTGTTTTTGTTCGGATAAATGTGAGGCATACCGTAGCCATAATCATCAACCAGTCATCCCATCCCGTTTTGCCAAGTAATCGACCGCGGACGTAAAGGCGGAGAGCGACGAACATGAGAGAAAGCGGAAGCATGATGAGTTCGACGATGATGAGGCCGGGTCCTCGTCGTTGAGGGTTGTCGTAGTTGGGTTCTGGCCATTGGTTCCGGACTTCTTCTGGTGGGATCCTCATTTTGGCGAATATGTGTGTTGTGTTGTGTTGGTGTTTTGGTTCGATAAGGTATCCTCAATATCTTCCTTCTTTCCTCCTAGGTCTTTCCTTCTCGTCGGTGTTTGTTATTGTTGATTCTCAACGATCGAAGGACAGAATCCGTCGCCCGTCTACTTTCTTGACGCCAGCATCGATCTTCGTTTCGTTCTGATGTAATCGTAGTGTAGATCGCAGATCGCAGGTCGAGTCGTAAGGGTCCAGAATAAATGATCGACAACAACCCTTCAAAAGTCCAACCGCCCTATATCCTTTTCCTTCGTATGAGCAACAGTGCTAAACTCCCTGCTGTTGTGATTTAGTACTGCAACAGTCGCACCGATCGTCGAACCCTTCTGAAAGTTTTTTTTTAAAAAGAAAAAGATCGACAAGAAGAGGTTGCAAGCAAGCAGACCAAGTGTAAACAAGGGGAGGGGAGGGGGGATGAACGGAGATAAAGAGGCGATCTGTGTACATAGTGTAAGGGCAACCCCACAGACCATATAGGTAACCACCGCACCCTCGTTCTCGTTCTTCTTCTTCTTTAGTTCGTTCTCGACCCTATCCCAGCCTGGAAGTTCCCCCGCATACTTGGCGATCACGGATTTTCTTCCATGGGCATGGGGCGGCGCCGCGCAGTGCATGTGCTAGGGACGGGGTGTGACGGTGTTGGGGCCGAGCCCGGTGCTAGTGGTGAGAAGGGAAATCGAACTCCGAAACGGGGAGGGAGACCAGGATGTCCACCTCGCATGCGGCCAAATTGACATGTGGGAGGCGACCCTCTTTTTGCCCGGTTTCCACATTGCAGCTGCTTACAAGTTTCCAACATTTCTGGGGGTTCCCTGGTTTGCATAGGACCGACAAGTTCTAGGCCGGTTGTGCTTTGACAATGGGCCAGGGGAAAGTGATGAATCGGTTCGTCTGATGTTTGGTCTGATCGATCGACGCAGTCTTGGATCTGGGGCCGTCAAGATAACAACAACATTGACTCACCAACCTGTCAACACTTGACTGCCGAACGTTATCCAAGCCGGAGCTCCCTCTCCCCGAAACTATTCTGGGAGTCTTGTCAGCTTGGCCCATAAAATCAACTTCGCTTCCGCTTCCATCTTTCTGCCGGTCCGAAGCTAACCCAAAGTTTTAGCTTCGGTTCTTTCAAGAACTCGCTAGTTTCCAGCGCCGTCAACAGCAAGTTTTCCTGAGCGGATAGGACTCGAAGACCTCTAGGCTCTTTCAGGTTCTCGCTCCGCTGTTGCCTTCGGCAATCCACCGTCAGCGGCGTCTTTTGCCATGTGGAGTGAGTGGCCGAGACAAGAGGACAGTGTGGCCGAGGATGACATTCTCAAAGTGAGTTTGATGAATAAAAGCGAGACATGTCCATCTGCCACCAACGATGAACCTGTCAACCAGCCCAGGGGGAAAAGAAAGAAAGACCACGCGAGAACAGGGATGATGAGTCCGAAGGGTCGGGGACATAAACTAGGGCGCACGTGGAGCCATCGGGAGTGCCAAGATCTTGAGCAGCCACTGGCATTGCGGGATCGTGACTTGATTGGGAATAGCTTCATCCTGTGACCGGGATGAACGACTGCATGACAGTGAGTGCGTAGGGCTACGTAACCGATATGTTTTCAGCTGAGGAATTTTGGAGGCCTTTTGCTTGCCGTGGAAGACATTAGGTAGTCGAATGCGAACAGGAACATGGTGCTTTGTCCGTTTGGTCGTCGTTATGTTGATGGACTGATTCTCTCTTCGGTGAAGAAAAGTCTCTTCACAAAGCCAACACCAATAGTTTGATCGCTTCGGCGATAGCTTCAGCGCCCAGTCGTTGCCGAGCCGCCTAAAGAAAAGGACCAAACCGGCCCAGACGTTCCAGGCCACACCAATGTCAAAGCGTCAAATGCACGCTCTACACGACAACGACGCCAACGCCAGGCACACCCGCACCATCGGAAATTGCACGCGTGATGGCGTCACATCGGTGCACGCTGCCCATCGCCACCACGGGCCACCACGAGGGGGGCCGAGAGCACTGCCTTTCTTGGATTAATGTCATTGCTGACATTTTTCTAGGCTTTCATGCATTCAGCGCCGAAAGAGCAAACCGACGATATCCGCACGATCGATGCAGGAAACATCAAGGGATATCTCCGGTGCTGGGAGCCAATCGCTGGTCAAGGTCCGCGATCTATCGACATAGCTACGTTTGAGGTGAAACTCGAAAGGCACATGCGGTGGGTCAGGAACAACGGCTGGCACCGACAGTGGGGAGCAAGAAATGTAACAAATGTTCGCTGCATGAGTCCCGGAGATAGCTGCAGGTACAACTCCGCCCCCTCGTCTCGGAACCCATCCCGCTGTGATGGGTCCTGAACACTGCATAGAAGATGGGGTGGAAGACTGGGAATCGTGGGACGAAACTTCTGCGGCTTCTTCTGAACTTGGCAGGTTGTTTGTCATCGGCTTGGTTACCGGTTGGCTGGATGAGGAAGGTCAGTCTGGTCAGAAGTGTGACAAGATGGAGGGTGTGAACTGAAAGTTACAGTAAGAAGGGTGTGTGAGATGTGTGAGCCGATTCTACAAGACGATGGCTCGGTCAAGCTGCTTGGCTTTTTGGACGTCTGTAAATGTGGATGACACGGATGTTGTCGACATTGGAAAAGGAGAGGCAGAAAGGCAGAGAGTAAACTTGAAGCTGGCGTGACCCTAACCCTGAATCTTAATGTGAGCCCGCTGTAACCACCGCGCTCCAGCGCATTCCCCGCTGCATGACGCGAACACAACTGATAAGGCTTCCTTTTCCTTGGCAACATTGTTGACTTTCCGTCGCCTCTTTCTCGACATCAACACTCGACCAGTTTGAGCCATTGACATTCCACATCCCGCATCTACCGCTGTCAATCCCCACAAACAGAGCTACTCCAGCGCGTCGCAACCACCCCGCCCGCGACCCTCGACACCAGCTCCCACCCACAGCTCGACAGCTCGACAGCTCGACGCCTCGACACCTTCCACGCCGACAAGACCAATCACAGACGCAAGATGCCTCCATGGGGTCGCAAACGCCAGCGGGTAGAATCCGAACCCGAACCCGAACCCGAACCGCGACAGCCATCCCCCTCCCCCTCCCGCTCCTCCTTGGAAGTCCTCGAGGAAGAAGAGCAAGAACAAGAAGAATCGCGACCACCCTTCTACAACACGACCTTCTCTACGCACCGCGTCTCTCCTTTCTACATCGGTAAACAACCACTCAACCGCGACCGGTTACAGACCACTTCCCAACGACTTCGCGAAATACTAGTTGGAGATGTGGTCCGTGGTGTCGAGATCGGGCTGGGGAGGATAGATGGAGAGGATGGTGTCATGGGAAGAGCTGGGGCTTTGGAGGTTGTTGATATTCGGTGGGTTAGTATGGGGATGGTTTTGGGTGTTACTGGTTTGGAGCTCGAAGGAAACGGCAGTGAAGATGAGGAGGGCCACGAAAGTACAGGGACAGACGACTGGTCTACATTGGTCGAACGGCTACAAGACAAGAAAGCGCTGCATATCGCGTTGCGGTATGAGACGGCTGAGTGCACGGCGCTGCTACTCCCTTCGTCTTCTTCCTCCTCTTCTTCCTCTTCCTCCTCCGAACCACAACCATCTACTATCTCGGGAACCCAACCAACCAACCCTCCAAACCCCGCACATTTTGTTCACCTCCCTCTCCTCCTCCTCCGAATGCCGGCGCCACTCAAATCTGTTATAACAGACTTTTTATCAACAACATTCGACTGCCGCGTCAGTTCTCTCCGGTTAGGGACACGAAGTCTCATACAAAGCTGGGAATCATGGGTTCAAACGGCTGGAATACCCGAGCGAGGACCGCTGGCGAAGGACGTGGTGCTTAATCTTGGATTTTACATACCGCCTGCTGAGCACAATGGAAATGCCCTTGGCGTTACGGGCGGGAATGGCGGCACAGGAGAGGACAAAGGAGGGGATAATGAAGGACCTGTACAACCTGGGCAGGAACCGTTGGGGATAAAGGGTATTGATGTCATTATTCCTGCTGCTGAGTTACGGGGGTTTGTTCGAGCTGGGAAGCAGATTGTGGCTGATCGGCAAGGGGAAAACGAGAAGGACAACAGCAAAGAAAAAGTCAACGAAAAACCAACGTGGGAAGCAGACCTCAAGAAACGAAGAAAGTTAGCTGGTCGACTGGGAGAGGAAGGTTGGGAGTGGAGGGCTTCTGTCCCAGGAGACAACGACACCGACACCGACACACAAGGACAACAGTCACCATTTACAGAAGCCTTGGGACGGTACGTTGACAAACACCTCGGTCTAAACCTGTTTCATCCGGGGGTTAGGGTGACAAAGATTGCTTGTGGAGGGTTTGTCATGTCGGAGGGGAGATTGAAGGTGTTTGCGCCGAGGGAGGGGGCACAAAGGCAGAGGGGGGCCGCGTGGAAGTTGGTTGAGGGGTTGGTTGGGAAGGCTAAGGGTGGGAAGACACTCGCCTAGACCCGGTGGTAGTCTGGAGTGTAGACTTGGGTGACATCCCGCATCAATCGATCGGATGATCGGAGGCTGGCCTTGTTCAGCACCAGGATGGCTCGTTCTGTTTTCTTAAAGTTGGCCTTGCGTGGCTGGTTTTTTATACCCAAATGCAACTTCGAAAGCCTGAAGCTCCTGTGTGCCGGACCCCATGGCTTTGCTTTAACATTCACCAGATGAATCCGTCATGGACTCGCCAAATAAATTCTGGGAAGAAACATCATGAACGGCAAGCCCAGCGCGGTTCGACCAGGAATGAGTCAATGGGATGCTCTAATCGTGTGACACCGCATCGCAACCAGGCTGGGTGAGCACCATATGAGCTGCCGACCTGACCAGGTAGACACTACAACATTGCCCGCTGCCCGTTGATGTTTATACGTTCCATCTCATGCAGATTCCTTAGCCTTGGGCAGACGGCGATTCGAGCCCTGACGAGTAACGTGCATGCCCCCGAGCTTTGTGTAACAATTTCTTTGTTCGACCACATCATCGCGGGAACTCCCTTTCAGCCACCCCTGACATGTGCGTTGCCCCTTTCCACCTCGCAGCTCAAAGCACAATACTAACAGACAACAACAGCATAGTATTCTGAAGCCATCAATGGACCTGTTATTGGTGGTTTGACGTTGACTTGAAGTGGTTTGCATATTTAAGGTTAACATTCGTCAGTGACCTGCGTGGATCCCTCTGTCATTGCTCATCAGACAGGTTCCTGAACTTGAAGTATCACTACGAGACACTCCAACTGTCACTCTTCCCCAATCAAAACCACACCAACAACAAACCCATCGCCATCATGTTCTCCCGACAGACCATCATCACTCTCACATCCCTCCTATCCCTCACCTCCTTCACTGTCGCCGTCCCAGCCCCCGCCCTCGAGTCCTCCACCACCTCCACCACCTCCCCTCCATCAATCCCCACAACCACCGCAAACCCCTTCCCCTTCCTCGACCCCCACCTCGGCGCCAAAATAGACTACAACCAAGACCACTACGAGGACTACATCCCAACCGATCCCTCCAACACCCCAGACAACAATGGCCATGCCCTAGTCACCAGAAGAAGAAACACCCAAGGCTACGGCCTCGCCAACCACGCCACCATCACCATGCTGACGGGCAAAGAGTGTAACATGTGGGGAGCCTCGTATAGCGCCGAGGAAGGGGAGAAGAAGTGTTTTCCTGTGGAGGGGGAGGGGAGGAATAGTTTGGTTGTTTCGGGGCAGGGGTTTTTTTTTTTTTTTTTTTTACTGCGTTTTTCTGTTTCCCTTTTCCCCTCTGTTTGTGATGAGGGGGTGGGTTGGGTTGACTTGATGGGTGTTGGTGTATGTGGTGCTGGCGATGGTGATGGCGGTCTGGTGGTTGTCTGGTGGTGGTGATGGTGTGGGGTTGATCGGAGAGGGAGCCAAGAAGGAGAAGAGGAGGGAAGAAATGATGCGGCGGATGATGAAGATTGAAGAACATGATTGCTAACGAGTGAACACAAACACAGCTGCCAAATTAAAGCGTGGGCGGGAAATGACTGCACTGGGAAAGTGGGCGGGCCAAAAGCGAAGAAGTTGGTTCAATGGGGATGTACCAAGGATATCCAGTATGGGTCTATTGAGGTTATTTGCTAGGTAAGGTAGGTACTACCTACCTAGGTCAAAACATCTACATGGTTGGCGCACGACCGGAGGATGGAGTTTTGCATTTAGGTGTTAGGGAAGCATACATCGCGCTGTTGTGTGAACGTGGTGGGAAGTATCGTAATTCGGATTATTTGACTCTTGGTCACCGTATTGAGTGTGACAAGGGCAGTGTTCTGGGCTTGGAACAGTAGTTCAATTCGGCTAATAAACTACTTTGGTCTCGAAGGCCTTGTTGATCCTTTCTACCTCCATGAGAAGGTCGGGCCTTAAGGCCTTCTTATACCAAAGAAGGTTGGTACGTACCGAGCCCTGTGTGCCAGGCATCGGCGCGAGTCTATCTAGTTCATCTGCCTACAAGTAGATCTTCTGAATGCCAGCCTTCGTCCAGTTGCCCGTCGGTAATTCCGGTCGGTGGTTTAATTGATGAAAGTCGCCGGCGAATGTCCGTGTGACACTGGCCGAGGCAAGGCTGGCATTGTATGGCGAGGTTGGGTTGATGTCAAGCATTGAGGCTCTATTGAACTTCAAACTCAGGAGTGTGGGCAATGTCCGTGTGACATTGAGTTATCAGCCTGGTGGACGTTGACTTTTTGGTTCTATGGTATTATTGTTTATCTTTCCCAGTCCATGTCTGTTTTCACGCGCATGTCCATGCCGCACTCTTTCGCCGCCTCCTCTCTTCATAAAATCCAGTCACAAAACTGGAGTAGCCCCTGTAGACGTAGTTGCGTACGGATGGGGGAGTTTGACCCCGGTACCGAAGCGGGAAATAGCAGCTGTCTGGAAGATAATTATCTAGGTATTGTTTAGAAAACAGTATCAGTTTTCCAGACATTGGTTGTCCCGTAGGCCTTTGGAATTGAAAGGTATATGGCGTTGCCTTCTATATATTATTGGTCTTTGCGTTACTGCGGAAGAGCGAAGGCTAGAAAACTAGTGCTGAAACTGAACATTCTAATTTCGATGGTCCGAAATTCGACGTAGTAGCAGTGACGTACTAAACAGCCTGGTCAGGAATAGGATCGAACAAAGCTCGCGATCGCAAATGAAAATTAAGAACCACTTTATTACAAGGTAGTAAGTAACTACCTATGTACCTAGAGGTAGTTAGCTGTCACACGGACATATGCCACACTGTCAAACGAGCATACGCCACACTGTCAAACAGGCATATGCCACACTGTCAAACGAGCATATGCCACAACTGTCAAACGGGCATATGCCACACTGTCAAACGAGCATATGCCACACTGTTAAACGGGCATACACCACACTCCTGGTGTCATACGAGAAAGACCTACATGTATGCAGATTGCTAGATGCCTTGGAGCCTTAGGTGACAAGGACCCGTACATACTAGATAGGTACCGTTTCCCTTTGGCATAAGAAGGCCTTAAAGCCCAACCTTCCTCTAGAGGTTGAAAGGACCAACAAGGCCTTCGAGACCAAAGTAGTTTATCAGCTGAATTGAACTACTGTTCCAAGCCCAGAATACTGCCCTTGTCACATTAGCTACTAAGTCATGTGGTCGTTTCCCAAAGAGCGGCTAGATTTTTCGGTTGAGAAAGGGAAAGTAAGAGGAGGCTAAGGGAAGGAAGGAAGGACTTTGTCACTTTGACACTTTGAAACATTGAGAAATTTGAAGTTTCGGACCAGACCTAGCTCCTAATTTAAGGCTACTACAGTATAGCCAGCGGTAGAGATAAGTTAAGTCAAGTCAACTTTGGGGTCGAACTTGATTTGACTTGCCTAAACTTGAGGTTATCCCCAACTTGACTTGACTTGACTTAACTTGACTTAACGATACTTATCGCTCCTTATCAATAATAAAAGGTAAGGATAGGCCAATTTACTAGGGTAACCCTAATATTTCAATACCTTAAACCCTAACCCTAGGATTCTACCGGGATACCAAGAAGGCAGGCAAGTCGGCAAGTCAAGTTGGGATATCGACTTGCTTGCTTGCTTACTTGTACTTGCTTGAACTTGCCAAGAATACTTGACTTGTCTCTACCGCTGGGTATAGCGCTTACTACCCCGTGTAAAAAAGATACGTTAGATTTCAAATATCAATTGTGGTTACTATTGTCTAACAACTACGATCAACATCTGGAAACCGATTTCCCACTACGGGTATGGAATAACAATCCCTACACGTGGTTCGGCGTCTCTGTCGCCGTCAGGTACCGACGGAGGCGTTATAGGCTGAGAATGCGTAGGAGCAACCGAATCATCTCTAACTGGAGTCCGTGATAAAGAATCGGCCCTCTCATCAGCGATCTGAGCCTCAGGGGGTGTATGACTGCTGACCAGGCCCCCGCTCACACCTAGCTCGGAGTCTCTATCATGTACAACACTGGATGTAGGTGCCTGTACTGTCACAGGTGTTTTACGAGGGTACATCGATACCCAATCTGTCAAACGTATTCCCCGGTATGTTGATGTGATAAGGGCAGTGTTCTGGGCTTGAAACAGTAGTTCAATTCCGCTGATAAACTACTTTGGTCTCGAAGGCCTTGTTGATCTTTTCAACTTCCAGGAGAAGGTTGGGCTTCCAGGCCTTTTTATTCCAAAGGGAATCGGTACGTACTTGAGGGACGTATCAAGCCCTGTCGCCTGAGGCTTCAAGGCCTCTATCTAGCAGTCTGCATACATGTGGATCTGAATGCCTTCATCCATTCTCCATCTTCCTTCTGGCACTGTCATTCATCTGGGCGCTGTGCTTCTTGCTTGGTTTGGCTGTGTTACTTCTGGGGATTGTCTCATGGTGTTTCATCAGTGTTTCAGCACTTCCATAGTTGGCTCGCTAGCCTGGTAGTGTCGTAAGGGGCTCGGGTAAGCAGTACCCGTGGCCAAGAGTCCGGCCGAGGTGAGTATTATAGCCCTGGGGCCACCGGGTATCTCGAGGTTCATTCCAGGCGTTGAGGCTCTGCTGAGCCTTGCGACCCTAACCCTTGGACTGTGGGCAATGTCCGTGTGACAACCGAAGAGCAAAGAGAGAAAGATGTAAAAATGGCAGAAGCATCTTGATGCTGCGGCAAAGATTAAGGCCGAGATTGAGGAACTGGAAAGAAAGGAGAAAGAGAAAGAAGAGGAACTACGGAGAAAGAAGGAGGCGGAAGAGGAAGAAAGATGAAAGCAGAAGGAGAAAGAGGACGAGATCAGGAAGAGGGAAGAAGATCGGCTGAGAGATATTGTTGTGGTGGGGCCTGTCCCACCTCTGCCATTCACTGGCCTTGTTATGTGGGTCCATGAGCTCACACCACCATTGTATTTAGCCCTCCACATTTCTTTTCCTTTCTTGTCTCCTGAGCTTAACACAATCAACACACTTCTTGTGCCCACGAGTCCAAGAGATATGTTATGGTATGTCTAACTTCCAGTCCTTCATCTTCTTAATGGCAGGTCCGAGTACATGCCCGTTCTATGAGCCAGATATGCTCTGAGACTGAAAACGACGAGGACTTTGCCATTGAATGCAACGCAGTGGCCTGAAGACGGTCCATGCCTCCATGAACACGCGGAGGTATACGGGATCATGGTCACGGTTTCCGTTCCATTCCCTTTTGTTTTCTTTTGTCTCCAGCTGCTGCACCCCCTTTACCTAGGTACCGTAGCGGGAAATCTCCCGTGGCATCGAGGCTAGAGGGGGGGGGGGGGGGGGAAGTACTAACCTAGCCATATCACCTACAGTGGGCTGTCCAACATGCATGCAGGTACAACTCAATCCTCCACCCCTATCCCCGCCATATTGTCACAAGACAACTTCAACGGCACTATCACATTTCTAAACATATCCCTCCTCCACCTCTCTATTGTCTTGCCCGCTACCTTCTCCACATCGCCTCTGTTCCCAGACCCCCTATTCCCTCCCAAGCACCACGCCACAGCATCCGCAAAACCTTGCCCGGCCTCCTGCAACACCTCACCCTGCCAATCCCTTGCCGCCATCACGTCAAAGCGGCTCAAGACGTAGTCGTCGGGTGCAGTGCAACGTTTTTCGTAGTCCCGCCGGCACTTCTGATCCCTAATGCGCTCGTTGAAACAGAGTTCCAGGAGGATGATGCCCAGCTGGTCGAGGGAGTCGCCTATTGGCACTGGCGGCGGCCCTTCTTCTGCTGCGTGGGTCGCTTTCTTGCCCGCGAAGATTAAGGGGCGTTGGACGTACGGCTCGTCGTTGAGGAAGGAGGTGCAGCCACGGGGGAAAATGATGTCGGTTTTGGTCAGGGTGGTGGGAAGCCACGGAGAGTCGAGAAGCTGGACGAATGAGGAGGCGATGGTTAGGGCCATGGTAAATCGTTGCATGCGCTTGCGCTTAAGCGTGGGAAATAGGTCCCCGTCGATGATATCTTGGAGCGTGATGGGGGTGTATTGTTGGGTGGGAGGTTGGTTGTAGGGTATGTCGTAGATGTGGTATGTCATGTTTTCGCTGATGAGGTAGCCGTAGGTTGGGTCGCCTTGGATTCCGCGTGAGGCTGGTGCTTCGAGGGCGGTGCAGAGGCAGTGGATCATCTGCTTTGTGGTTGTAGTCTGTGTGGACATGGTGGAGGTAACGGTGGTTCTGTCTTCTTCTTTGACTTCTACGAGCGTCACTGTTGTTGTAGTAGTAGTAGTAGTAGTTGTTGTTGCTGTTGAGGAACTGTTGGATCGTCAGTTAGCTTTGCAAGTCGTCTAGTCTTTGACACGACTTCTTGACTTACTGAAGCCCCGCGAACATTGCGGTTTTCCCTCTTGACTTTTTCGGGTTTCCGAGCGCGGATTTGAGTGGACGGATATCCTTGTGCGATGGCGTGTGTATTGGCAAGCTTGGCCGGGATCTGGCTACCTCTCCCGGCCCGGAGTTAAGGCCCTGTTTCTCAACAATCTTCGTTTTTCGGACATTCCACGTGGTCATGGAAGGCTGTTCTTTGGTGAACAGGACCTCGAACTCGGGCGCTGCATTGCTCCGATGGTGTAGTAGGAGATTTGCGCAGTGGGTATTGCATCGGCAGTTCCAACTTGAGGCAAGTGCATTGAAAAACCTGTCGGCCGTGACCCAAAAGTTGCAGAGCGTAGTATCGATGGCGCCGACAGCCTTTGACTGAGCTGTGACGGCAGTTGGGGCGGAGAGATCTCTGACTCTGTCGCTACCCTTGAGGATCTTTTGGAGTTTTTTGTTCTGTTCTTCCAACTTGGTAAAAAGGCGGGTTCGCTTCTTTGGGCCCTTGAGGGCGAACTTGAACCTGAACTTTTGGAAGGCCAGGTTGTCGCTGTCTCTCAGTGCCTTCAAACTTGCAATTATTGTGGCTTCCCCCTGGAGGCACGTGGTTTATGTCAATGGCAAGTCTGATGATGGATAACATGTCACGATCAATGGGCGGCCATGGACTTACAGGTGAAGCGATCTTGGACTGAACTGCCGCGTGACCCAAAGCAAGCTCACGAACAATGTCTTCCATGACCTGCTCAATGTCCTGGATGCAACCCATATACACCTTATAGCCATCGCGTAGGCGTTTCTGCAGGAGGTGGGCCATCTCGGGCTCGGTCCACCAACTTCCGAACGGATCCTTCATAAGCTTTGGGATATTGTCCTTTTGGGTTATGTCATCGACCATGAGAGGTAGAAGGAGCTCCTCGACATTTCTCTTGAAGAGCAGGTAATTGAACTCCAGTCGCCGGTGCCACTCGTCATATTCCGCTTTGATCTTGAAGAAGACATCAATGCGGTCGGCTACTTCGCTATATCTGTCGAGCACCTCAATGGCCAAGGGCAAGGCGCCCAGCACAAGACCGGCTATCTCAAGGCCCGACATGACCGCGGCGAGAAGGTCCAACGAGAGGTAGTTGCAATCTCTGAGTTTGGGCCGTGTTGAGGGAGTAAGTGATGACGATGAAACGGCTTGGCGGTGGTGGACTTGGAGTTGTCGGACAAGTGTAGGGTAGTCCGAAATTGGCGACGGCAATGTTTGAGATGAGTGTGGGAAGAAGGAGAGGTTGAGTGCCTCACTCACTCGCCCACTCAGTGAAGTTGCGGGCAGGTTAGGAGGATTCCATGGCAACCTAGTGAGGGGAATGAATGCATTAGCAGAACCTTGGAGGCGAAGAAATGGGAACAAATGAGAAGGTGGGCTGGAACGTTGCAGGCCGCGGGCTGTGTAGTGTACACACTAGGTAGGGTAACAACGCCCGGCGGCTAGCGGGTGCCTAGAGACATCAAGCCCAACGGAAAAGTGCATCCAGTCGAGCCAGTCAAGTGAGGCCATCGGCGCCCACCTTGTTATGCATCAGAGCCTCTGATTTGACGTTGATCCGTCAAGTCCCAAGCCGAGCGTGCCTGATTACATGCGGGGTAGTACTGCAGTGGTAGCTGACAATCCAATCTTTGTCCACGACTCCATCACCTAGACCTACTTACTCCGAGCAGCGACCTCATCCCGACAAATATTCACACACTGCAGACTCATACCAACCCCAACAACCCAATAACTGCCCTACAGTCTCGATCTCGGAAGAACTCACAGCCAGAGTTTGACCCTGCTTCAATCGGTATCGATAAACCGAACTCTCTTCCCGATCAGCTTCCAGGGGTCGAATCGTCCAGACGAGGGAACTTCAGGACCCGGATATCGACTGGGGACTCGAGATGGACAATGAGACAATCAGCGGCAGATGTCGCAAGATTCAACAGAAGTTGAAGGGTCTGCTAGCTGTCCTTGAGAATGGATCAGCCCCAGTGTCAACAACTGTCACGGCCCCCTCAGTTCAAGATGCCTTTGAGAGATTCATGCTGTGGGCCGGAAACTTGGGAGCGTTGCGAAAGCCCACATCAAAGCTGTCTCTTGACACCAGGCTCGCAAATTCCCAGGAGGTGCGCGACTACATCGATAGGGAGATAAAGAATATGTGTGAGGCACTTGAGGACCGTGAGTAATGGCCGTAGCCCCTTTCCCTCATTCCAATATTGAAACAGTGATCTGACGATTGTGGAAATACCTAGTCATGAACATTGTGAACGGTTCAAAGCCCAACAGGGAGATTGGTTCCATTTATAGTTCGGATTCGGAGGACGACTTCGACACGGACTCTGATGAGACTGAGAGTTCCACTTCTTACTTCCACGGACCCGTTGATGAAGCCGGTTCTCTTCTTCAGGTAACCTCACAGGGAATCAGATCCCTCTTGAAGATTGGCATCCTGATCCGACAGCCCACGTCCAGCGGAACCGACCGCTTTCGCCGTGCATGCAGAGATTCCACCAGCATCTTCTTGGATACCATGGACATTCATCATGTACAGGACAAGTACCCCAAACTCGGACGTGGAGCCAAGTCGGAGCGTATGGGAAAGGCGATTGCAAAGCGAAGACAGTTCATCCATTATTGCCGAGATCACAAGTCTAATCTGGCGGCCGAAGAGATCGAAAGGAAGGATACCTCTCACCCCCAGATCGGAAGCCAAAAGGCCACGACCGCCAAGCAGTCCAGCAAAGCGACAACCTTCATTGCCAAGGCAAACATGATGGAAACCCTTCAGGGATCCGGGGATGTTCTTGAAGATGAGGAAGACGCTGTCTCTCATTGCAGCGTCTCTACCACATCTGAATCACTGGCAGTCCTAAAGCTACCTCGACTCGCTGACCTGTCTCCAGACAACGACCCCTTCGAATGTCCTATTTGCTACACTCTCCAGCAATTCCGCTCGGAACAATCATGGCGGTAGGTCTGATCATATGCCAGGCGTTATAACCGAGATGAGACTAACCAAAATGTTGAACATCTTAGGCGACATGCGTATCGCGACCTCAAAACCTACGTGTGCACAGTGGGTGGAACCGAGTGTGACGGCAAGTTCTTCGACGACCAGACATCATGGTTCAACCATGAACTGGAACAGCATAGATCCAGCTACGTTTGCGTACTATGCGGTGTCAGCGACGGACGAAAGGACACGACGCGAAGCTTGCTCAGGGGACATATCCGCGACGTTCATGGAGAGTTTAAACCCGATCAACTTGAGCGGCTTGAGGATGCTGGCCGGGACATGACCAATAGTTTCAAGACCGGCGATTGTCCGTTCTGTGATGAATGGTCTGCGCTTGCCGCGAAAAGGAAATCCCCCGGAGGTATTTCACAATTAGAAGACAACTTAATCGTCAGCACTAGCCGGTTCAAAAAACATGTCGCCATGCATCTGGAGCAACTTGCGATCTTCGCCATTCCACGACATGAACTTGATACCGGCAAGGACGAAGATGGGTCGTATGGCTCAGAGTCGCGCGTGATGCACTCCGATATCTCCGCAGGGTTTACAGGGTCATTTGAATCGGAGAATCAGCCATCGCATTACACTGAAGATGATCAAAGTGACCGAGCCCCGAGCGAGGGTGAAGGATCGATTGGTCACGCCGCATCCGGAACTGAAGATTTACCCACCACCGCGCCCGAGGAGGAGCTCGATGGCAAAATAGAAGAGCTCAACCAGCCATTGTCACTGTTAGAAGAGTTGAATCCTGAGGCAGAGCACAGGAAGGAAAAAGAGACGGAATACCAAGCACAGTGGCGCCGGATGCAAGACACAGAACATTTGATGAAGATCGTAATGGCAAGAGAAAAGCAGGATGAGGAGGATAGAAAGAAGGCTGTAATATATAATATCAGCCAAAGGAAAGAGGAAGGAGAATGGGGGGAGGACGGGGTGAAGCATGATAACGAGGATAGGGAGGAGTGGGATGAAGAGGATGAGGAGGAGGAGGCGGCGGAAGGGGAAGAGGGGGAAGAAGGCGAGTGGGATAAAGAGGAGAAAGAGGTCGAGTGGGAGGTGAAGGAAGGGGAAGGGGGGGAAGAAGAGAAAAAGTCCCACGCGGAGAGCGAGGGAGTTGGCCGCAATGATGCATTGCCATACTCTCATAGTGATGCGTTGCATTATTATAATATTCAACTAACGCTTCTTGACCAACTAAATAAAAAGAGGATAATGATGGCAAGAGAGGAACAAGAGGAGGAGCGGAGGAAGAATGAGGAGGAGAAAGGGGAAGATGAGGAGGCAGGGGAGGAGGAGGAGGAACACTCAGGCGCTTCAGGAGGCCGCACCCGGCATGATGCTGGCAAGGACGAGAATAAATCTCAGGGCTCAGATGCGCGTTAAAAGGACTCACACAATTCGGCAAGCTCTGTATCATCACTCGGATCAGAGGACGACCAAGTTGCCATGGAAGACAATCCAAGAGACGAAGTCGCAAGGCCGGGCGAGGGATCGAATGCCCATTCCGTATCCGACACTGGAAAGTCGCCAGCTAAAGTGCCTGAGTGTCACACGGACATTGCCCACAGTCCAGGGGTTAGGATTGCAAGGCTCAGCAGAGCCTCAAACGCTTGGAATGAGCCTCATGAATGCCCGGCGGCCGCAGGCCGCGAGGCTCAACCTCACTTTGGCTAGACTCTCAGCTACCAGCATTGCTTACCCAAGCCCCTCTCGACGCCTTCAGGCTAGCGAGCTAACCATTAAACTGCCGACGACGCTAGTAAGCGAGATGAGGCAATCCCCAGTCATTACAGAAGCGATCATAGCAACCAAAAAATGGAAGTAAACAGTTAGTGAGATCTACAAGAAAGGTTGAGTGATTGAAAGGTGATGGGGACTTAGCTTTGCGTGAGCTGGGAAAAAAAGTGTTGAGAGGTTCACGAAATATAGGGTTGCGGGATCCTCACTTCGAAGCGGGATGGATGTACGATGCTGATAATCTAATGTGTGAATAGCTGGAAGGTTATCAAGGTGATAGACCATGGACTGCACCCTAAACTAGGAGGGAGCTTACCTTGAGAAGCTTGTGGTCACGTTTTTGAAATCTTGTGATCGCGGGGTCTGTTCGAGGGTACGAAGGAAGAGAGAAAAATGCCGAGAACTTGTTGGATGAATGAAAGAAAGGATTAGAAACCTCAAGCTGTATATGATATCAAATGAACAAAAGGAAGATGAGTTACGTCAAAAGTTCTTGCTGACTGGGAGAGGCAACCGTGGGATGTATCGCGGGGTAAAAAGACGGTGAAAAGAAGTAGTTGTGTGCGGATGCAAAAAAGAGAAAAAAAGGAAGAAAATGTTGTATGCGGGGGCGGGTAGGTTGCTAGGTCAACGCGTCGTATCCAGGACATATGATGAGAGTACCTAAGGATATCTGCCTAGAACCTACTTCTGGAAGCAAGCATCGGGCAAAGTGGAATGGGCAGGCAGGGTTCACAAAAGGCAAGAAAGTCGAGTGTCTGGCCGTAGAGGTACTCGGGTTTTTTTTCGCGCTTACTGCGACGAGTGCGTTATACCTAAATATTTTGATATGTTAAATACATAGTTAACATTGTTTCAAGGTCCCTTGCGAGTCGGTGCTACGTAGTGTATGGCGTATTGTCCAATACATGTAACTGGAGGCAACAGTCATGTCCATTGCAAGCCGTAGGCGTGGTCATACAGTTTAGCACACAATCAACATCGAATCATTAACATGGAATATACGACCGTTCTTCATTTTTGTACGGAAAACCTGAGCAGCATTAAGATTAAACCGAGCAGAAAACACCCGGGAAGAGGAGGGAAGTAACACTTGGAGGTGTGAAGTAGTAGTGATAATGGGATTGGATGTTTTACCTGTTGTTCTCTTCCTGTTCGAAATCGTTTTCCTTGATACATATAATCCCCGACATTATTCCCCCGCTCATGTTCCCGAGACAAGTACCTTAGTGATGATGCATTCGTGCTGTTTGATGGACAGGTGATGTGACTGTCGTCTCAAGCTACCAAAAGTCAATCCTCAAGCGACCGCCTCCCCTTCTAGTGTCCTGTTTATCAAGGTAGATGCCTCCCTACTTCCAAGCTTTTAGAGACCCGTAGATATCTCCGTTACCTCCTCTAGCAACGGCCTCCAAGCAAACGAGCACAGTCCCGTCCGCTCATTTCTCCTCACGAGCATGCACATAGGGTGGCGATCAGGGAGAACCCCCAAAACAAACGGCTTGTTCGGCTTGCAAGTGCACTTCCCATCTGCAACGGAATCGTGTCCCTCACCATTGTTCAAGACACCAAACCAACAGTACCACTGGCCGGGTCTACGTTCTCTTTCAAACCTACGCCAGTGGAGGAGCCAGCTTGGGTTGACATCGGCCAAAGTGATGAGGCTGGATATCATTGTTGCCACGAGTCCGGTGTTACGATCCAATCAGAGAATC